CTGATGAGATAGGATTGTTGCTGTTGTGTGACTTAGGTTGACCCAGAGCGAGGGCCGGGTAAATGACCTTGGAGGGCCGTATTCAGCCCCCGGGTCTTAGTTTGAGGACCCCTACTGTAAATAAACGAAACTAAAAAATTTCAATGCTTTTCCTAGTAGCCAGTTGTCAGGGGTACTATTATTGCTGAGTATATTTTATGGTGGTGCTTCTTGGTCTGCTTGTTTTCAAAGTCATTTCTGTGCAGAAGACAAGAAAGAAGAAAGCGCAAAAGCCGGGTTGCAGCTAAACGTCAAAAAAACCAAGATTATGGCAACAAGAATGATTGACAACTGGAAAATAGAGGGAGAAACCGTGGAGGCCGTGACAGACTTTGTATTTCTAGGTGCAAAGATTACTGCAGATGCAGACTGTAGCCAGGAAATCAGAAGACGCTTACTTCTTGGGAGGAGAGCAATGCCCAATCTCGATAAAATAGTAAAGAGTAGAGACATAAGACTGGCAACAAAGATCCGCCTAGTCAAAGCCATGGTATTCCCTGTAGTAACCTACGGATGTGAGAGCTGGACCTTAGGGAAGGCTGAGCGAAGGAAGATTGATGCTTTTGAGCTGTGGTGTTGGGGAAAGTGCTGAGAGTGCCTTGGACTGCGAGAAGATCCAACCAGTCCATCCTCCAGGAAATAAGGCCCGACTGCTCACTAGGCATAATGAGCTAATGAGACAAAGTTGAAGTACTTTGGCCACATCATGAGGAGACAGGAAAGCCTAGAGAAGACAATTATGCTGGGGAAAGTGGAAGGCAAAAGGAAGAGGGGCCGACCAAGGGCAAGATGGATGGATGGCATCCTGAAGTGACTGGACTGACCTTGAGGGAGCTGGGGGTGGTAACGGCCGACAGGGAGCTCTGGCGTGGGCTGGTCCATGAGGTCACGAAGAGTCGGAGACGACTGAACGAATGAACAACAACAACATCCCCATCCAGATGAATGTATTGAGGAGCAAAGGCGTAAGTGAGATATCATGTGCGCCATTCATACCTTAAAACGAAAGAGCTGTGTTTATAATACAGTGAAACATTAAAATTATTACACTAACTGAGGTTTACATTATTTGTCTCAATTTGATTTTGGTTAAGGTATTTTAGTATTCATATCAAGTCACTGTAATGCCTTGCCCTCTGGCACCACAAGATGCAGAGCCAACCATCTATAGTTGACCTCAGATACATTTCCCCCAGTCCTGAATAAAGGTCAAACCCCATTGCTTCTCCGTCTGGCTCCCCCTTCATAATTACATTTGTTCTATTCCTATCTCAACCAGGTTTTAACATTTTATCTCGTGCATCTGGCCCACCCTTTGTGTTTGATTTTTATTGTGTTATTTTACACTGATTATTTTATTTTGTTAATTTATGTATTCTGTTGTGATGCAATTTTCTGTTGTTTTTTGTCTAATTTCGCTGTATTGTTTTTGGCCTCATGTTAGCCACCACGAGTCCCCTTTGGGGAGATGGAGGTGGGTTATAAATAATAATAATAATAATTATTATTATTATTAAACCATTGCTTTATGTATGCGGATCTTCACACTAGCAATGAAGACCTGCATAGTTAAAGCATTGGTATTCCCCATAGGAAGCTATGGATGTGAGAGCTGGACCATAAGGAAGGCTGAGCGAAGGAAGATAGATGCTTTTGAACTGTGGTGCTGGAGGAAAGTTCTGAGAGTGCCCTGGATCACCTTGGTTGCAAATTTCCAGTCATGGGCTGGTCCAGGAGGTCACAAAGAGTCGGAAGTGACTGAACGAATAAACAACAAACAACAAGACTCAAGTTTGTCATGGATACCATGAACTCCCGAGCTGCACTTGACAGGCTGGCCTCCTGTGTTCAGCAGTGGAACTCACTGCTTTGGAATGTGGTGGAAACTTCTAAACAGATGTCTGGGTGTCCATCTGTTAGGAATTAGGTGATAGTATGATAGCTGGGTCTGGATGTTCTGAGCCTTACACACATTCTGCAATGGCGGTTGTGAAAAATGGTAAGGGGAGAGTGGCACACTGAGGGTGGGAATATACATCGTAGTTGCATTTGGTGGAAGGATAGAAAGGAGGGGAGGGTAAGGATAAGGTTTAGGGTTAGGATTAGGGGTTAGGTTTAAGACTTAGGGTAAGGTTTAGAGTTTGGGTTTGGTTTAGGTAAGGTTTAGGATTAGGGTTAAGTGTTAGGGTAAGGTTTAGGGTTTGGGTTAGGCTTAGGGTTAAGGTAAGGTTTGGATTAGGGTAAGGTTTAGGGCAGGAGTCCACAAACTTTAGGGTCACAGTTCCTCAAACTGTTGGGGGGCCGGATTATAATTTGAAAAAAACATGAATGAATTCCTATGCATACCACATATCTTATTTGTAGTGCAAAATCACTTAAAAACAATACAACAATTAAAATGAAGAACAATTTAACAAATATAAACTTACTAGTATCTCAATGGGAAGTATGGGCCTGCTTTTGGCTCATGAGATAGGATTGTTGTCTTTGTTGTGTGCTTTCAAGTTGTTTCAGACTTAGGTTAACCCTGAGCGAGGGCCGGGTAAATGACCTTGGAGGGCCGCATCCGGCCCCGGGCCTTAGTTTGAGGACCCCTGGTTTAGGGTTTGGGTTAGTATTGGGGTAAGGTTTAGGGTTTGGGTTAGTATTAGAGTTAAGGGTTAGGCTTAGGGTAAGTCAGGGTAAGGTTAGGGTAAGGGTTAAGATTTAGGGTTAGGGTAAGGTTTAGGGTTAAGGGTTAGGGTAAGGTTTAGGGTTTGGGTTAGGCTCAGGGTAAGGTTTAGGGTTAAGGGTTAGGGTAAGGTTTAGGGATAAGGTTTAGGGTTTGGGTTAAGATAAGGTTTAGGGTTTGGGTTAGGCTCAGGGTAAGGTTTAGGGTTAAGGGTTAGGGTAAGGTTTAGGGTTAAGGGTTAGGCTTAGGGTAAGGTTTAGGGTTTGGGTTAAGGGTTAGGGTACGGTTTAGGTTAAACGTTAGAGTTTGGGTTAGGCTCAGGGTAAGGTTTAGGGTTAAGGGTTAGGGTAAGGTTTAGGGTTAAGGGTTAGGCTTAGGGTAAGGTTTAGGGTTTGGGTTAAGGGTTAGGGTACGGTTTAGGTTAAACGTTAGAGTTTGGGTTAGGATTAGGGTTAAAGGTTAGGCTTAGGGTAAGGTTTAGGGTTTGGGTTAGGTTAAGGGTTGGGGTAAGAGTTAGGGTTAAGGGTTAGGGTTAGAGTTAAGAGTCAGGCTCAGGGTAAGGTTTAGGGTTTGGGTTGGGTTGAGGGGTAGGGTAAGGTTTAGGGTTTGGGTTAGGTTAAGGGTTAGGGTAAGGTTTAGGGTTTGGGTTAGGCTCAGGGTAAGGTTTAGGGTTAAGGGTTAGGCTTAGGGTTTGGGTTAAGAGTAGGGTTAAGGGTTAGGCTCAGTGTAAGGTTTAGGGTTTGGGTTAGGCTCAGGGTAAGGTTTAGGGTTAAGGGTTAGGCTTAGGGTAAGGTTTAGGGTTAAGGGTTAGGCTTAGGGTTTGGGTTAAGAGTAGGGTTAAGGGTTAGGAGTAGGGTTAAGGGTTAGGCTCAGGGTAAGGTTTAGGGTTAAGCGTTAGGCTTAGGGTTTGGGTTAAGAGTAGGGTTAAGGATTAGGTGTAGGGTTAAGGGTTAGGCTCAGGGTAAGGATTAGGGTTTGGGTTAGCGTTCGAGTAAGAGTTAGGGTTTTTCCATTAAAGAACTCTTACATTCCTTCTATAATATCTGTGTTTCATTCTGCAAACAGCTCTCCCGAAGGAGCGAAGCGAAAACAGCCTAACGCTCAGAGCTTCTGGACCCAGTTATCATACTATTACCAGGAATTGTGGGAGGTGAAGCCCAAAACACCTGGAGGGCCAAAGCTGGCCCATGCCTGTGTTACACTGATTCACAAGCCTGTGGCTCTGTCTCCCTCCTCTAGGGACTGGTCACGTGAGAGGAAGCAGGATGGAAGGAGGGAAGGGATGCGGTTATTTATTTATTTGTCGTGTCAGAGCAACCAGTCCATTATATTACATTTCTAACAGAACAAAGCAAACAAACAGACAAAATACACAACTTGTGAGTTTGGTAGTTGGTTAAATGTCCTTTGACCAGTATCTGGCCACTTGGAGTGCTTCCGGTGTTGCTGCAAGAAGGTCCTCCATTGTGCATGTGGCAGGGCTCAGGTTGCATTGCAGCAGGTGGTCAGTGGTTTGCTCTTCTCCGCACTCGCATGTCGAGGATTCCACTTTGTAGCCCCATTTCTGAAGGTTGGCTCTGCATCTTGTGGTGCCAGAGTGCAGTCTGTTCAGCGCCTTCCAAGTTGCCCAGTCCTCTGTGTGCCCAGGGGGGAGTCTCTCATTTGGTATCAGCCATTGGTTGAGGTTCTGGGTTTGAGCCTGCCACTTTTGGACTCTCGCTTGCTGAGGTGTTCCAGCAAGTGTCTCTGTAGATCTTAGAAAACTATGTCTAGATTTAAGTCGTTGATGCTGGCTGATACCCAAACAGGGGATGAGCTGGAGATGTCTCTGCCTTGGTCCTTTCACTATTGGCTGCTACTTCCCGGCGGATGTCAGGTGGTGCAATACCGGCTAAGCAGTGTAATTTCTCCAGTGGTGTGGGGCGCAGACACCCCGTGATAATGCGGCATGTCTCATTAAGAGCCACATCCACTGTTTTAGTGTGGGGAGATGTGTTCCACACTGGGCATGCATACTCAGCAGCAGAGTAGCACAGCGCAAGGGCAGATGTCTTCACTGTGTCTGGTTGTGATCCCCAGGTTGTGCCAGTCAGTTGAAGACATCTGCCCTTGGGCTGTGCTAGGAAGAAGGCGGACAGCCCAAACCCTGGGGAGGAGAAGAAGGAGAGAGAAAGGATCTGGAACTGGGAGGGAAGCAGAGAAGCAGCAGAAATGGGCAAGGAAGGGTTAAGGGCAGGGAGTGTGGTTCCCAGAGAGGCAGGAAGGAAGTGGGCCTCCTTGTACACACCTTCCCTCTCCCTCTAGGAACCAAACTCCTTCCCCTTCACTCTTCCTTGCCTGTCTGGGAGAGGAGAGCTTGTCCTTTTGGCCTCTTCCTCCTCCACCACCTCCTTGCAGCCTTTTCCTTCTCTTCCTCCTTCCTCTCCTCCTGGTGAGTCTTCTTCCCATTCCTTCTCCAAAGGGCCAAAGAGAGACTGAAGCCCAAAACACCTGGAAGGAGGGCTGGAGTGGGCCCAGGCCTGGACTTCCATGGGATTTGGGGGGGGAGGGGGGTCATCAGATTCTCCAACTGGGGATCCTTGGGGGGAGAGAGAGGCAGGAAGGCAGGCAAGCAGAGGGAGGCCCATAGCTTTCCCCTGCCAACCCACTCACTTGCCTGCCTGTGTCTTCTTTTCCCCCCTTGAGTTTTTATTATGCACTAGCCGTCCCCTGGGGGGCCCCGGTGGCGCAGTGGGTTAAAGCACTGAGCTGCTGAGCTTGTTGACCAAAAGGTTGCAGGTTCGATTCCAGGGAGCGGCGTGAGCTTCCGCTGTCAGCCCTAGCTTCTGCCAACCTAGCAGTTCGAAAACATGCAAATGTGAGTAGATCAATAGGTACCGCTCCGGCGGGAAGGTAACGGCGCTCCATGCAGTCATGCTGGCCACATGACCTTGGAGGTGTCTATGGACAACGCTGGCTCTTCGGCTTAGAAATGGAGATGAGCACCACACCCCAGAGTCAGACATGACTGGACTTAATGTCAGGGGACTACCTTTACCTAACCTTTAGCCATGCATTGCTGTGTCCCAGTCTGGTGATCTGGAAAATAAAGTAATGACAAAGTGTTGGTTTCTAATACTATATAATTTCTTTCTGCTTGTGTGTAAACAGTATTTCTTGCTGTTTCTTTGTCAGTGTTGATGTGGAGAGTGTCTGGTTTGCCTACTCTGGAACATGCAACATATCATTGTCCTTTATAAAGGGTCCCTTTCAAATCTGTGATACTATCTCTCTGTGTGTGAATCATATCTATCTATCTATATCTATGGCTGGTTTGCTCTTTGTCAGGAGGGCTTTGGCTATGTTTTCTTGCCCTGGTGAAGAGAGTAGGACTGGATGGCCTTAAGGCAGCATTTCTTAACCTGGAGGTCGGGACCCCTCGGGGGGTCATGAGAGAATCACTTATGATGTCACTCAAAACGAACAGAGCATATATAGATAGATAGATAGATAGATAGATAGATAGATAGATAGATAGATAGATAGATAGATAGATTTCAAAGGAAGGGTCACCAAAGACCACTAGAAACACACAGTATTTTCTGTTGATTGTAGGTGTTCTGTGTGGGAAGTTTGGCCCAATTCTATCATTGATAGGATTCAGAATGCTCTTTGATTGTAGGTGAACTATAAATCCCAGCAACTACAACTCCCAAATGTCAAAGTCTATTTCTCCCAAACTCCATCTGTATTCATATTTGAGCATATGGAGTATTCGTGCCAAGTTTGGTCTAGATCCATCATTATTTGAATCCACAGTGCTCTCTGGATTTAGGTGAACTACAACTCCAAAGCTCAAGCACAATGCCCACCAAACCCTTCTAGCGTTTTCTGTTTGTCATGGGAGTCCTGTGTGCCAAGTTTGGTTTAATTGCATCGTTGGTGGAGTTGAGAATGCTCTTTGATTGTAGGTTAGCTATGCATCCCAGCAACTACAACTCCCATATGACAAAATCAATTTTTGAGTGATGGTCACTCCTTGGGTTAGTAGGCCAAATTTGGTGGCAATTTGTCCAGCGAATTTTGAGTTATGATGTCACTCAAAATGAACAGAGCATTTATGTATAGATAGATAGATAGATAGATAGATAGATAGATAGATAGATAGATAGATAGATTTCAAAGGAAAAGATGTTTTCCACAGAAAGAAAAAAGGAGAACACAGAAGGGGAGGAAGGTTGCAGAACTTCTTCTGACAAAATTGGTATTGTCTGAAATAAACACAACATTTTTGAGCTTACATTCAATTTGATTGTTGACATTCTCACCAATAGAGATCTGTCTGAATTTTTCCACCTTTGTAGGTCTTTTTGTGTCGCTTTCTATACTTTTTCATAGTTGCTTTTAAATAATTCAGTTTCTGTTTGTCACCTGGATTTACAAATATTTTACTTTAGTTGTTATATTGATTTTGTCTCTTGGTTCTTCTTTACAAGAAAAGCTATGGATCATGAGGCATCAGCGGAAGGAATCCTGGGGGGATTCAGTGTGGGTTGGGACTGAATGGGAGCTCAATGGGAGGCCAGGTGAGTCCAGGTGGGCCTGGAGAAACAGAGGCCCAAGTGGAAGGAGGGCCCAGAATTACCTGGCTCTGAAGTAAATGAAGGGCCTTTTTACACTCTTTAAGAAAAAGCCTCCCAAAGACTATTGTCTAATTCTGCCTTTCTTTCACAGAGGAAATGTGATTTTTCACTGAGAATTTTGGAGTAGAGCTGGTTCAGTTGAGAAGGGAGAAAAAGCATCTTGGGTATGTTTGGTTCTTTAACAGAGTGGTTCTAACATGGAGAGACCCAACTCACCTGGACTTGAAGCAGAACTTAGGAGCGGTGGGGAATCCTGGGAAGGAACTACACAGACATTACTGAATGTGCATATACAGCACCAGCGCTTCAAGCAGTGCTCCTTCCGAGAGGGCGAGGGACCCAGAGAGGTTTGCAGCCGCCTCCACTCTCTCTGCCGCCAGTGGCTGAAGCCAGAGCAACACACCAAGGCGGAGATGCTGGACCTGGTGATCCTGGAGCAGTTCCTGAGCATCCTGCCCCCAGAGATGGGGAGCTGGGTCCGAGAGTGTGGGGCAGAGACCTCTTCCCAGGCGGTGGCCCTGGCGGAAGGCTTCCTCCTGAGTCGGGCAGAGGACGAGAAGCAGGAAGGACAGGTGAGAGCATTGCCTCTTGGCTTCACTCACCTTACGACTAATGGATAGATTAAATGTCCAAAAGGATCTCCCACTGTGAACCATTGCGCAGGTTAAGATTGTCGGGGGGGGGGGGCTTTTTTCGGTCCCACCCCTTTGCAAGCTGGATTGGTGGGGATGAGAGAAAGGGCCTTCTCAACCCACTCCTTATGGAATTCTCTGTGCTCTTTCAGGCCCAAAATAACTGCATTGAAGTCCAGCCTGATTTCTCTGAATCAGATAAATCTCCATTAGACACCACTCAGAATCTCCAGCAGAAGGAGCTCAAACAGGAAGGAGAAGAGGCTACAGCCTTGGAAGGTAAGAAGGAACCCTTCTGGGAGTTTTGGTATTTTATACCATTGTAAATTCCCCTTCGGGGGATTGTAGCACATCTGCAATCAATTTGAGTTAGAGAAGACATAACATGCAGGGATGGGTATATAGGTATGATTTGGTTGCAAAAGGTGTAATTACAGTGTTATTTTGAGTTTTCTTTATTGTTATACTTCTACATTTGCATACTGTTGGGTGGGACTGAGAAATCAGCCCTTCAGTATCATCCCAGGTGGGACCCAAAGCTAAGATGAGACCTGAAATTGAGCTGGAAGACAAACAGACAACAAAGAATAACTTTAGTCAGTTGCAATACCAAGCCCAGGACTAGTTTTAATCCAATCTACTCACAGCAATGGTTGCGATAAAAAGCCCTAATCTCCAAACTGTTACTATTCCTGGAGTGGAGAATGCTCCTGTGTTCATTGGGTCATTTCCTCACAAATTTCTTTATACAACAGTAATTCTCTCATCTGAGACATGTTTATGTGATCAACTTTCCACCTCTTGCTCTCTCTCTCTTCCAGGGGCTGGAATGATGTTGTTGCTGAATCCCCAGTCGATTCTTCCCTTTTGTGATGGAGTGGAACTGAATCAGGTAAGCAGAAGGATTCCTGGGAGAGGAGGACGGGAGCTGCCTGGGTGTTGTTTCTTTCAGGCTCAATCATCAAACATCTCTTGAATCAGAAAAGATTGAATGGGAGTTTCTTAAATATGAGACACTGAAGGCACAATTGCAAACAGTGCCAAAAAGGAGCAAATAAATAAGAGAAATGCCAGAATGGATCTTTCAGCTGAGCTAAGATTTAAAAGGGACAAGAAATTGAAAAGCGGGGAAATCTCCAAAGAATTCAAATTACTAACCATCATAAGTAGGGAAAAGGTCTGACAAGGTAAAACAGAAAACTTACAGCAATCCAGTGATTTTGGCCATAAAAGCCTTTGACAACACATCTTTGAGAATTCTTGGAGAATGGGAGAAGTCGGAGCAGACTGGAGGAGATGAAGGTTGTCTCTATCTTTAAGAATGCACAAAAAGAAGACCCCCAGCAATTACCATCTAGTCAGCTTGACCTCCTATAGTTTTACAAACAACTTGTAAAACGTGGGCTAGATAATACTACTGTTAGGTGGATTTGTGATTAGTTGAGCGACTGAGCGCAAAGGGTGCTCACCAATGGTTCCTCTTCATTCTGGAAAGAAGTGACTGGCAGAGTACGGTAGGGTTCTGTCCTGGGCCCAGTCCTGTTCAACATGCGTATCATATTTTCAGATGACACCAAATTAGCAGATAGGATCAGAATTCAAAATGGCTTTAGCATATTTGAGAGCTGCGTCAAAACTAACCAAATTAATTTCAACAAGAATAAATGTAGGGTAGTACACTTAGGCAGGAGAAAAATGCAGTGCAGAGATACAGGATGGGAGACATCTGTCTCAACCACAGTTCACTTGAAAGGGATCTTGGAGTGTTGGTAGACCACAAGTTGAACATGAGCCAACAATATGATGCAGCAGCTTAAAGGATTATGGGATTTGGGCACCATTAAAGTGTCTAGATTAAGGGAAGTCATGGTAAACTTCTTTCTGCTTTGGTGAGACCTCACCTGGAATAACATTGTGTCCGGCTTAGGGCACCGCGATAAAAGCTGGAACATGTCCAGATTCCATTTCTGGTTCTACATATTAATTAAGAAACTGTTGTGACTGTGACCAACCAGCCTCCAAACTATGTCATGGAGGCCATAGCCCTTTCCCTTTCAGATTTTCAACAGGAATGGAAATCTTCTTTAAAGGTTTTCTTGTAATTATTTTTCTTGATTTCCCTGATGTGAGAAGGAAATGTTTCCTTTTTTCCACCAGGGCCCAGTTGCCTTTGAGGACGTGGCTGTCCATTTCCCCCTTGAGGAGTGGGCTCTCCTGAAGCCTGGTCAGAAAGCCTTGCACGTGCAGATCATGGAGGAGATTCATGGGATGGTGGACTCTCTTGGTAAGGCTCCCTCACTGGTGGGGATTTCTATTTCAAAATGCCTTTTCCCAATCAGCAGCTCCCTAGTGGGATGGTCAAGGGGCCTGTCCTGCCTCCAGAGGCAGGATTTATAATCGGATCCCTGTGCCTTTAAGGATAAGGGAGTGGGGAAGAGGAGCTCAAGCTTCGAATGCAAAATGACTGTTTATTTCAGTTGGAATCTAACATTGGAAGGTAGCAGAAGGGTAAGTAAGAGCACAAGAGTCTGTGTCGTGTCGGAGATAGATAGCACGTCACTTCGGAGGTATATTAGATAGTAGATACTTCTGATGAACCAACCTGGACACAGCATATTATTTGAGAACACAGAAATGCTGGACCACTCTCACAACCACCATGTCAGACTACACAGAGAAGCCATTGAAATCCACAGCATGTGGACAATTTCAACAGAAAGGAGGAAACCATGAAAATGAACAAAATCTGGCTACCAGTATTAAAAAAAACTCTAAAATTACAACCGCACAACAACAGAGGGGAAACAATCAGGCACATCTAATCGCCTCTCAACAAAAGATTGCCCCAGGCACTGCCAGGCCATCAAATGCTAATCAAGGTGGTCAGTTGAAACATTCACACCTAGCTCCAACAGACAAGAGTTCTTTGTCCCACCCTGGTCATTCCACAGATATATAAACCCATTTTTCCTAGTTCCAACAGACCTCACTACCTCTGAGGATGCTTGCCATAGATGCAGGCAAAACATCAGGAGAGAATGCCTCTAGAACATGGCCATATAGCCTGAAAAAACCTACAACAGCCCAGCTCAACTGACTGCCAATTTGCAACTGATCACAATTCAAAGTGCTAGCTTTAGCCTGTAAAGTCCTAAATGGTTCTGGCCCAGCTTACCTGTCTGAACATATCTCCCCCTAAGAACCAGCCCAGATGTTAAGATCTTCTGGGAAGGCCCTGCTCTTGGTTCTACCCCTTTCGCAGGTGCGGTTGGTAGGGATGAGGGAAAGTGCCTTCTCAGTGTTGGCCCCTCGGCTGTGAAACTCCCTTCCCAGTGACATCAGATCAGCTGTCCTTCAGAAAGAAATTTAAAACTTGGCTATGGAACCAAGGTTTGGAGAGTACCGTATTTTCTGGCGTATAACATGACTCTTTAACCCTGGAAAATCCTCTGAGAAGTCAGGGGTCTTCTTATACACCAGATCTGGATCTTCCCTCTTTCTCTCCCTCCCTTTGTGGGGTGGGAGGAGGAGGAGGCAGCTTCTCTTCCTCTTCATCGCCCAGTGATTTCGAGACTATGTCTATGTTTTTAGCTATTAATTCTAAATGTATTTATATGTTACTGTTTTGATTATAATCCACAATGCATTTTGTATTTTGTTTGATATTCTGTTTTAATGCAGTACTGAATTGTGGCCCAATTGGAAGCTGCTCAGAGTTGAGATAGAGCGGGCTAAAAATACAGTAAATAAATAAATCCACTTCTTTTCCCACTTTCTTAGACTCCTTATCACTGATACTGAGGAATGACTGTTTCTGTCCTTCTTCTTCACAGCAGATGAATGGAAAAAGAGCAACGTGTGCACCAAACTCAGGAAGCATTTGGAACACAATGAGGGCCTTCCTAGTCACCAACAAACACACAGAGAAGATGGAGATTCTGCCAGAGAAATACCCTACAAATGCAATGTATGTGGGCAGTGTTTTAACCGAGATGAGGCACTTGTGCTTCACAAGACACTTCATGCTGGGAAAAGCCATCCTAAATGGAAAGAACCGGCAGAATGCCTTTCTGATTACAAAGTGCCACATCTGAATCAAGAAGAAAATTTTGAAGGAACTGAGGATTTTATGAGCCAGGCGTGTGGGAAATCTTTTATCCAGAGTTCACACTTGGTGAAATATGAGCAATTTAATACAGGACAGGAACCATACAGATGCCAGGAGTGTTGGAAATGTTTTGCTGACAGTTCAGAATTGGTGAGGCACAAAAGACTCCACATAGGAGAGAAGCCACACCAATGCCAGGAGTGTGGGAAATGTTTTGCTTACAGTTCACAGTTGGTGAGCCACAAAAGACTCCACACAGGAGAGAAGCCATACCAATGCCAGGAGTGTGGGAAATGTTTTGCTTACAGTTCAGTCTTGGTGAGGCACAAAAGACTCCACACAGGAGAGAAGCCATACCAATGCCAGGAGTGTGGGAAATATTTTGCTGACAGTTCACACTTGGTGAGTCATAAAAGACTTCACACAGGAGAAAAGCCATACCAATGCCAGGAATGTGGGAAATGTTTTGCTTACAATTCAGACTTGGCAAAGCACAAAAGACTCCACACAGGAGAGAAGCCATACCAATGCCAGGAGTGTGGGAAATGTTTTGCTTCCAGTTCAGAATTGGTGAGGCACAAAAGACTCCACACAGGAGAGAAGCCATACCAATGCCAAGAGTGTGGGAAATGTTTTGCTCGCAGTTCAAACTTGTTGAGCCACCAAAGACTTCACACAGGAGAGAAGCCATACAAATGCCAGGAGTGTGGGAAATGTTTTGCTGATGGTTCATACTTGATTAGCCACAAAAGACTCCACACAGGAGTAAAGCCATGCCAATGCCAGGAGTGTGGGAAGTGTTTTGCTTACAATTCACAATTGATGCGGCACAAAAAACTACACACAGGAAAAAAAGGATAAAATTGCTATAAGTATGGGAAATATTTTATTCAGACTTCATCCCTTAACAAGCACCAGGGAATACACACAGGTGTGTGGGAAATGTTTTGTTTGGAGTTCATACCTTTTGAACTGTCCCAGACTACATACAGGAGAGACATCATCCCAGAGCTCTGATAAAACTAAAAAACGAGTTATCACATATCATGATGGTGAACTGGCTGGAATTTGTTTTTGCCCTACTGTACGATATAATCCAACAAAAAAAAAATTAAATTGTGTATTTTATTATGATATTGCTGCTTTTAGTTTGCTATTTTTTATATTATTGGTTATGTATTACATTTTGGTCTTGTACTGTGACTTATCTTCTGTAAGCCGCCCTGAGTCCTGTTTGTAGAGGGGGCGGGATATAAATAAAGATGGTGATGATGATGATGATGATGATGATGATTATTATTATCAACAGGAGAATTACAGGTTCTGGACATGTTGATGTGGTAGACTCTACATTCAACATTTCCCAATGAACCCGTGTTATTCCTTTAGCTTCTAATAAAACTTGGCTTGACTTTGGACTCATTTCTTAGACAATTCCTAGTTTTCAACTCTGTTCAGGTTTTTTCTTTATTTGACTTGGGACTGTTTTGGATAAGTCTTTTGCTTCTCTGGACACCCATATCATCTGATTTCAAACAGGACTGTTTGAGAAATTCTGCCTAAGATTTGGTAAAGATTTGTAATTTGAATCCCTAAGTTAGAGATCCTGTTCGAGAAGTGACGAGTGGAGTGCCGCAGGGTTCCGTCCTGGGCCCGGTCCTGTTCAACATCTTTATTAATGACTTAGATGAAGGGCTAGAAGGCAGGATCATCAAGTTTGCAGACGACACCAAATTGGGAGGGATAGCCAATAGTCCAGAGGACAGGAGCAGGATTCAAAACGATCTTGACAGATTAGAGAGATGGGCCAAAACTAACAAAATGAAGTTCAACAGTGACAAATGCAAGATACTCCACTTTGGCAGGAAAAACGAAATGCAAAGATACAGACTGGGGGACGCCTGGCTCGAGAGCAGTACGTGTGAAAAAGATCTTGGAGTCCTCGTGGACAACAAGTTAAACATGAGCCAACAATGTGATGTGGCGGCAAAAAAAGCCAATGGGATTTTGGCCTGCATCAATAGGAGCATAGTGTCTAGATCTAGGGAAGTCATGCTACCCCTCTATTCTGATTTGGTTAGACCACACCTGGAATATTGTGTCCAATTCTGGGCACCACAATCAAGAGAGATATTGACAAGCTGGAATGTGTCCAGAGGAGGGCGACTAAAATGATCAAGGGTCTGGAGAACAAGCCCTATGAGGAGCGGCTTAAGGAGCTGGGCATGTTTAGCCTGAAGAAGAGAAGGCTGAGAGGAGATATGATAGCCATGTATAAATATGTGAGAGGAAGCCACAGGGAGGAGGGAGCAAGCTTGTTTTCTGCTTCCCTGGAGACTAGGACGCAATGGAACAATGGCTTCAAACTACAGGAGAGGAGATTCCATCTGAACATGAGGAAGAACTTCCTGACTGTGAGAGCCGTTCAGCAGTGGAACTCTCTGCCCCGGAGTGTGGTGGAGGCTCCTTCTTTGGAAGCTTTTAAACAGAGGCTGGATGGCCATCTGTCAGGGGTGATTTGAATGCAATATTCTGCTTCTTGGCAGGGGGTTGGACTGGATGGCCCATGAGGTCTCTTCCAACTCTTTGATTCTATGATTCTCTGGAGCAGCAGAAAGCAAGCTCCCTGTGACAATCTTTCAGAGTGTTAAATATGATTGTCATGTCACTTACTTTAAAAAAATTAACTATATGTAATTCCATCAGTTGTTCCTCTGGGCTTAGTTTCCAGTTCTTTTACCACCTTGGTTGCAAATTTCCAGCTTACAAATGTTGTTTTTCAGCTGGGATTCCAGAATTGAACTCAGTGCTTCACTTGAGACCAAGCCAAAGGAAAAGATGCTTGCACGGTTATTTCCCTTGACGTGTAAATTGTATCTCTGCTAGAATTTACTGGCTGTTTCCCTAATCCTGGCACACACACTTAATCCATGTTACATTGAAAAATGCAAGCCTTGTTGTTATTTTAGAAATAAGAATGTTATATAATATTGATTTTGTTATACACTATGAGAATTTGATTATTTTTTGTTGCAAAATTTAAGTCTCTGGATCTTATACATGAAGGAAATAAGTTTGTCTGTGTGAGGCAGGCATAGGCGAACTTTGACCCTCCAGGTGTTGATAAGCTGGCTGGGATTCCTAGGAGTTGGGAGTCCAAACACCTGGGTAACTGACATTTGCCAATGTAGAGTGAACAAAAACAACCGTTTGTATAACTTGGTTGTTGTAGGTTTTTTCGGGCTATATGGCCATGGTCTAGAGGCATTCTCTCCTGACGTTTTACCTGCATCTATGGTAAGCATACTCAGAGGTAGTGAGGTCTGTTGGAATTAGGAAAAGGGGGTTATATATCTGTGGAATGACCAGGGTGGGACAAAGGACTCTTGTCTGCTGGAGCTAGGTGTGAATGTTTCAACTGACCACCTTGATTAGCATTTCATGGCCTGACAGTGCCTGGAGCAAACTTTTGTTGAGAGGTAATTAGATGTCCCTGCCTGCTTCCTCTCTGTTGTTGTGCTGTTGCAATTTTAGAGTTTTTTTTAATACTGGTAGCCAGATTTTGTTCATTTTCATGGTTTCCTCCTTTCTGTTGAAATTGTCCATGTGCTTCTTCTGGATGTCAATGGCTTCACTGTGTAGTGTGACATGGTGGTTGTTAAGAGTGGCCCAGCATTTCTGTGTTCTCAAATAATATGCTGTGTCCAGGCTGGTTCATCAAGTGCTCCGCTATGGCTGACTTCTCTGGTTGAGTTAATCTGCAGTGCTTTTCATGTTCCTTGATTCGTGCCTGGGCAATGCTGCTGCATTTGGTGGAGGTTTCCAAACTCTGATCAATAGAAGGGAGACTCCAGGTTGCTCGAAGCCCTGACTTGAGCCCTGGAAATGTTGTTATCAAGGTTGTATTTTTACATGGTTTGCATTCCGTGCAATGGGCAACATGTTTGGGTGGAAAGGCGATTCCTCTTCCAGGTAGCCCATTTATTTATTATTTCGGGTACTTTTACCCCGCCCTTCTCAACCCCCCGAGGGGGGACTCAGGGTGGCTTACAAAATGGCACAATTCGATGCCTATACAAATTACACATAATGTACAAAACCATAGTTGAAACATTCACACCTAGCTCCAGCAGAGAAGAGTCCTTTGTCCCACCCTGGTCATTCCATATAAACCAGAGGAGAGAATGCCTCTAGACCATGGCCATACAGCCCGAAAAAACCTACAACAACCAAGTGATTCCGGCCATGAAAGCCTTCCACAATACGTTTGTATAACTATTGAGAGATGCTCTTTCCCCTCCTTCCAGTTTAAGGCTGGGCAAGGATGGGTTAAGGGGAGAGAGTGTGGTTCCCAGAGAGGCAGGAAGGAAGTGGGCCTCCTTAGACCTGCCTCTAGGAACCAAACCCTCCCTTCCACTCTTCCTTGCCTGGCTGGGAGAGAAGAGAAGAGTTTCCCCCTTTGACCTCTCCTTCCTCCTCTTCCTCTTCCTCCTCTCCTTCTGGTGAGTCTTCTTCCCATTCCTCCTCCAAAGGGAAGAAGAGGGGCTGAAGCCCAACACACCTGGAGGGAGGGAGGGCCAAAGTGGGCCCAGGCCTCCTTCCTTCCCTCCCAGGCTGGCCTCCTGACCCAGGCGGAGAGAGACACACACCCTGGCCGAGGAGAAGGAGAAGGGAAGCCACCCCTTCCTGAGCTCTCCTCCTTGGAAGGAGATGGAGCCTGGCCTTGAGCCTGGGGCGCCATGGGGAGAAGGGGGCCTGGTGCAGAGGGGATATTGGGGGTCAGCACAAGGGAGCTCTGAGAGTGCCTTGGACTGCGAGAAGATCCAACCAGTCCATCCTCCAGGAAATAAAGCCCGGCTGCTCACTGGAGGGAAGGATACTAGAGACAAAGTTGAAGTACTTTGGCCACATCATGAGGAGACAGCAAAGCCTAGAGAAGACAATTATGCTGGGGAAAGTGGAAGGCAAAAGGAAGAGGGACCGACCAAGGGCAAGATGGATGGATGGCATCCTTGAAGTGACTGGACTGACCTTGAAGGAGCTGGGGGTGGTAACGGCCGACAGGGAGCTCTGGCGTGGGCTGGTCCATGAGGTCACGAAGAGTCGGAGACGACTGAACGAATGAACAACACAACAAGGGAGCAAACAGTGGGGACCCTTGGGAGGAGGGGGAGAGAGGCAGGGAGAGAGAGAGAGGGGGGCCCAGGGCTTTCCCCTCCCCACCCACCCACTCACCTGCCTGCCTGGCTCCTCTTTTCCCCCCTTGAGTGCTTAAATAATTCAGAGTTTGTGTTTGTCATCTGGATTTCCAAATATTTTACTCCAGTCATTATATTGGTTTCAAAGTCTCTTGGTTCCTTTTTACAAGAAAGGCTATGTATCACGAGGCGCCGGCAGAGAGGGCCCTGCCCAGGGCTTTCCCCTCCCCTGGGACTGAATGGGAGCTCAATGGGAAACCAGCCTGGAGGCTGGAGAAGCAGAGGCCCAAGTGGAAGGAGGGCCCAGCATTACCTGGCTCTGGAATAATTAATTTAAATAAATAACTGCTTAGCCGGTATGCACCACCTGACATCCGCCGGGAAGTTGCAGCCAATAGTGAAAGGACCAAGGCAGAGACATCTCCAGCTCATCCCTTGTTTGGGTATCAGCCAGCACATCAACAACTTAAATCAAGAAATAGTTTTCTTAGATCTACAGAGACACTCGCTGGAACACCTCAGCAAGCGAGAGTCCAAAAGTGGCAGGCTCAAACCCAGCACCTCAATCCATGGGTGATATCAGATGAGAGACTTCCCCTTGGGCACGCAGAAGACTGGGTGACTTGGAAGGTGGCCATCCGTGTGCTAATTTTTTGTTTATTTTTTACTCTCTATACTTATTTATTTATCGTGTCATCCACAACCAGAACATTGTATTACATTTCTAACAGAACAAAACAAACCAACAGATTTTTAAAAAAGACACAAATTTTGCAAACTTGGTAGCTGATTAGATGTCCTTTGACCAGAATCTGGCCACTTGGAGTGCCTCTGGTGTTGCCGCAAGAAGGTCCTCCATGGTGCATGTGGTAGGGCTCAGGTTGCATTGCTTCAGGTGGTCAGTGGTTTGCTCTTCTCCACACTCGCATGTCGTAGATTCAACTTTGTGGCCCCATTTCTTAAGATTGGCTCTGAATCTCGTAGTGCCAGAGCGCAGTCCATTCAGCACCTTCCAAGTCACCCAGTCTTCTGTGTGCCCAGGGGGGAGTCTCTCATCTGGTATCATCCATGGATTGAGGTGCTGGTTTTGAGCCTGCCACTTTTGAACTCTCACTTGCTGAGGTGTTCCAGCGACTGTCTCTGTAGATCTAAGAAAACTATTTCTTGATTTAAGTCGTTGACGTGCTGGCTGATACCCAAACAGGGGATGAGCTGGAGATGTCACTGCCTTGGTCCTTTCACTATAGGCTGCTACTTCCCGGCGAATGTCAGGTGGTGCAATACCAGCTAAGCAATGTAATTTCTCCAGTGGTGTAGGGCACAGACACCCTGTGATAATGCGGCATGTCTGATTAAGAGCCACATCCACTGTTTTAGTGTGGTGAGATGTGTTCCACACTGGGCATGCGTACTCTCTATGAAAAATCCTCTCAAAGCCTGTAGTCTAATTCTGCCTTTCTTTCTCAGAGGAAATGTGAGTTTTGGCTGAGAATTGTGGACTCAGGCATGTTGAGGGATTTCTTTCCCTTGAGAGAAGAGCCAGGAAGAGCATCTTAGATACGGTAGAGTTCTTCATCACAGTGACTCCAACATGGAGAGATCTGACTCACCTGGACCTGAAGCTGACAGGGCTCCTGGTAGCAGTGGGGAATTCTGGGCAAGAACTATGCAGACGTTCCTGAATGCGCACATCCAGCGCCAGCTCTTCAGGCAGTCCTCCTACCGAGAGGGTGATAGACCCAGAGAGGTTTGCAGCCGCCTCCACTCTCTCTGCCGCCAGTGGCTGAAGCCAGAGCAACACACCAAGGCGGAGATGCTGGACCTGGTGATCCTGGAGCAGTTCCTGAGCATCCTGCCCCCAGAGATGGGGAGCTGGGTCCGAGAGTGTGGGGCAGAGACCTCTTCCCAGGCGGTGGCCCTGGCGGAAGGCTTCCTCCTGAGTCGGGCAGAGGACGAGAAGCAGGAAGGACAGGTGAGAGCATTGCCTCTTGGCTTCACTCACCTTGGGACTGATGGAGAGATTAAATGTACATCCTGCCTTCCTTCCAAGATGGGACCGATGTGAGGGAGAAGCCGGACTCTGCTCCCTTGGCCTCTTTCCCCCCCCTGCCCCTCCTGCTCTCACCTCCATATCACTGTAAGCTCAGTTGCTCCTCTAACCAAATTTCTTGACTCCAGATATCACACTGAAAATGATGGAAGGGGGAGTGTGGCATTTGTTTCAAACTCAGATTTATTCTTTTTTTAAAAGTCCATGCAGTTTCTGCACATAGGTCTGTGATTTTTTTTAAATTTTCTCTATATTTCTTCTGGAATACTCTGTGCTTTTCCAGGACAAAAATAATTGCATTGAAGTCCACCCTGATGTCCCTGAATCAGAAAAATCTCCATCAGAGACAACCCAGAGCCTCCAGCAGAAGGAACTCAAGCAGGAAGGAGATGGGGCTGCAGCCTTGGAGGGTAAGAAGGAACCCTTTGGGGTGTTTTCCTGTTTTATGTCAATGCAAATTCCCCTTCAGGGGATTATAGCACACCCAAAATCAGTTTGAGCTAGAGAAGGCATACATGTAGGATCATTTCAGCTTGCAATGTATATAAGTATGATTTGGTTGCAAGAGGCGTCATTTCAGTGTTATTTGGAGTTTTCTTTATCATTCTACTTCTGCATTTGCATACTGTTGGGTGGGACTGAAATATCCGTACGGTGTGTTTCCAGGTGGGACCCGAAGCTCAGATGAGCCCTGAAACTGAGTTGGAAGACAAACAGACAACAAAAAATAACTATAGTCAATTGGAACTGCCAAGCCCAGTCCTAGTTTCAACCTAACCTATTCACAGCACTGGTTAGATGAAACAGTTCTAAACTCCAAAACTTTACATATTCCTGAGCTGGAGAATGCTCCTGTCTTCATAGAGTATTTTCCTCATAGGTTTCTTTTCAGGAACCTAATTATAACCTCTGAGACATATTTATGTTATCAGCTTTCCACCCCTTCCTCTCTCTCTCTCTCTCTCTCTCTCAGGGGCTGGAATGATGTTCTTGCCTAATCCTCGGTCGTTTCTTCCGCTTTGTGATGGAGTGGAACTGAATCAGGTAAGCAGAGGGATTCCTGGGAGAGGAGGAAAGGGGCTGCCTGGGGGTCATGTCTTCCAGGCTTAATCTTCAAACATCTGTTGAAAAAGGAAAGATTGAACAAACATAAATGTAAATCATTTCCAAAAGATTCTTGTATCTATTTTTCTCGATTTCCCTGATGTGAGAAGGAAATGTTTTCTCTTTCCACCAGGGCCCAATCACCTTTGAGGACGTGGCTGTCCATTTCACCCTGGAGGAGTGGGCTCTCCTGAATCCGAGTCAGAAAGCCTTGTACGTGCAGATCATGGAGGAGATTCATGGGATTGTTCGCTCTATTGGTAAGGCTCCCTCACTGATGGGGATTTCTATTTCAAAACGCAGGATCCCAGTCAGCAGCTCTCTAGTGGGAGCAGGATCCTAAATAATCTCAATCACTGAGATTTATCAACACAGGGTTTGTGTTAGAAATATAAGACATTAAGTGTAACATTGACTTGATGCCTGAGTGTGGTGTGATGTGGATGTCACTATATCTGGCTGAGTCCTGCAGACATTCCTTTTATTTTATTTTTAAATATGCCACCTTCTGTTACCAATAATTTTATATATATACATAGGCACCAGGCAATGATGTTGATAAAGGGGAGAAAGAAGATTAAACTTRACAAAAACTCAGCAACTTGAGGTTCAATTATAGATGTCCGTATATGTCTCTTTAATGTATAACCCAATACTGTCYTCAGTATGTATCTTGAAAATAATCTCTGGCCGACTTTCAGGAATGCATCTTCAGTCTTGTAACTTGACACGAGATTTCAATATATTAGTTGAAACAAAGAAATGCTTATTTATGAATTCTTGTGCACATAAAGCYTATTTGTTACACAGTACTTTACTTCAGTTCCACCTTGATATTGTTACATCTGTCTTTTACTCTTGTGAATACATAAAATTGTTACTATATAACTTTCAGAACAGTTTGGCTTATGTCAACTTGGTTAGGTAACTTCCTTCTCTCTCACATGTAATTCCTTCTCAGCCTCCTGACTGGATAACATATCTTATTGACACTTCTTTCGATCAATATTCTGATTGCAACTTATTCTCAAAGAAGTCTCAGTTTCTCAGTTAAACCTGACTGAAGACTTTGACACAAATTAGTAACTTATTACTTTAGTACCACAACGGAAGGCATTATCCTATACAATGATTTTCTTCCCTGTAGCTCTCAGACTAGAGATTAATTCAAAGTTGTCCCTTTATTACTTTAATATCATGGCCGTAGACTCAAACTTAACCTAGAAACATTTTCATTCTAGCTCCCCTGGCTAGAGAATGCCTCATTTTAAAAATGTCCCCTCTTTCCTTCTTAGTTAGCTCTGCCCGTTTTGCCTCCTAGCCACTCTAATATGGATACATTTCTACTGCAGAGGCTTCGCAGCCATGACAACGCATCGACCAATCATATGCAGCCAACTCTGGCCTGCCTTTGTCATAATATCAACAGTAATAAACATAGATGAAAACTCAATTATAATTAGTTATTCCATTACAGCATCCATTCCCCCAGGAGAAGGAGACAGAATAAAAAGTTTGGAGGAACAGGTAGCCTATGGAGCATATGTTATTCATCTTTCCCTTAGAGGGGGCGACCAAGATCAAGATGGATGGAGGTTATTCTTGAAGTGACTGCCTTGACTTTGAAGAAACTGGGGGTGGCCACAGCCGACAGGAAGCTCTGGCATGGGTTGGTCCATAAGGTCATAAAGAATTGGAAGCGACTGCACGAATAGACAACAACAACTTAGAGGCTCCAGGCAGTCAAACAGTGTCCATCTTTCCTGAACAAGTGGTGGGGAGAGGGCAATATTTATATCTTCTTTTCCTCCATTTCTATGTTGTTTTAAGGATCATTTCAGTCTCCTTCTTATACCAATTTCCCAGAGTCCTTATCACTCACACTGTTTCTGTCCTTCTTCACAGCAGATAACTGGGACACCAAACACAGGAAGCATTTGGGACACAATGGAGGCCTTCCCAGAGACCAGCAAACCCAAAGAGAAGATGGAACTTCTGCCAGAGAAGGACCCTACAAATGCAATGTATGTGGGCAGTGTTTTACCCAAAATATGGCACTTATACTTCACAAGGCACTCAGTGCTGAGAAAAGCCATTGTAAATTGAAAGTATCAGCAAAATGTATTGCTGATTACAAACTGCCAGATCAGAGCCAAGAAGAAATCTTCGAAGGAACTGAGGATTTCATAAGCCAGAAGTGTGGGAAATCTTTTATCCAGAGTTCACACTCCGTTAGCCACAAAGGCCTCCACACAGGAGAGAAGCCATACCAATGCCAGGAGTGTGGAAAATGTTTTGCTTACAGTTCCAACTTTGTGAGCCACAAAAGACTCCACACAGGAGACAAGCCATACCAATGCCAGGAGTGTGGGAAATGTTTTGCTCGCAATTCACATTTGGTGAGTCATAAAAGACTCCACACAGGAGAGAAGCCGTACCAATGCCAGGAGTGTGGGAAATGTTTTGCAGACAGTTCGCTATTGGGGAGACACAAAAGAATCCACACAGGAGAGAAGCCATACCAATGCCAGGAGTGTGGGAAATGTTTTGCTGTGAATTCAGCCTTGGTGACCCACGAGAGACTCCACACAGGAGAGAAGCCATACCAATGCCAGGAGTGTGGGAAATGTTTTGCTCAGATTTCACATTTGGTGAGCCACAAAAGACTCCACACAGGAGAGAAGCCATACCAGTGCCAGGAGTGTGGGAAATGTTTTGCTGTGAATTTTGCTTTGGTGACCCACAAAAGACTCCACACAGGAGAGAAGCCATACCAATGCCAGGAGTGTGGGAAATGTTTTGCTCAGAGTTCAGCTTTGGTGAGCCACAAAAGACTCCACACAGGAGAGAAGCCATACCAATGCCAGGAGTGTAGGAAATTTTTTGGTGACAGTTCAACCTTGATGAGGCACAAAAGACTCCACACAGGAGAGAAGCCATACCAATGCCAGGAGTGTGGGAAATGTTTTTCTCTGTGTTCTGCCTTGGTGAAGCACAAAAGACTCCACACAGGAGAGAAGCCATACCAATGCCAGGAGTGTGGGAAATGTTTTGCTCAGAGTTCACATTTGGTGAAGCACAAAAGACTCCACGCAGGAGAGAAGCCATAACAATGCCAGGAGTTTGGGAGATGTTATTGCTTGCATTTCATATTTGATGAAACACAAAAGATTTTACACAGGAGAGAATCATGCCAAGAGTGTGGGAAGTGTTTTCCTTGGAAGTTGTCACTTCTGAAAGTCAACAAAATAGCCCACTTATATACAAAAAAAATGCAGTGAATAATATGACCGTTGAAGCTTATTATACTGTTCAAATTTACAGTAATCACAAATGATACTGTATGAGTTTTGTACAATCACTTTGAAATGGTATCGACACCGTGTGTTCTTATGCCGAGTTGACCATGGATCAGCCACCCACAACTGGTTTTGGCTTTACTCCAGGCCCTTCTCTGGTGATCTGAAATTGTTATATACATCAACAATTGCTACAAATATATCCATTTAACAGCATATAATAAAATACATTTGAAGGCACTTACAAAGTTATACACTTGACACTTGTTCTCCTTAGAGATACAGATTTTTATACTTAGTGGGATCTAGACCAAAGGAACAAAATGTGGCTGTGAGCATTTGAAAGTTACATATACAGAAAATAAATGTTTTATCAAGATATGAATGTATTTCACAGAATAAATGTGTACTCACGGGAAACTCTGCTGTGTGTTTGATTCTAATTGCGAGTATGAAGAACATATAGGAGTTCCCTCAATTTAAAGGAGAAAGATATATGTAAGATATTAAGGAGACAGGCTCATTTAAAGCTGTAGGAATGAAAAAAGTAAATACCAGATGGTGCTGTGAGTGCCCTCAATGTGCTCAAATAGGGATGTATAGTGTAACCAGAAAATTATATATAACAACATTACAAATTTGGTTCATTTAAACCATGTGCATGTTCTGTCCATAATCCGAAGAGCCAATATGTTATCTTCATAGGAGTTTATTGTTGAAGTCCATATGTTTGGAATGTGTTACTACTTCCAGTATATGGTATTTAAATGATTCTGGGTTATGCTGTAGATCAGGGGTCCTCAAACTAAGGCCCAAGGGCCGGATGCGGCCCTCCAAAGTCATTTACCCGGCTCTCGCTCAGGGTCAACCTGTCTGAAACAACTTGAAAGCACACAACAACAAGAACAACAACAATCCTATCTCATCAGCCAAAAGTAGTCCCACATTTCCCATTAAAATATAAATAAGTTTATATTTGTTAAAATGGTTCTTCATTTAAATTATTATATTGTTTTTAAGTGTTATTTGCAATACAAACAAGATATGTGCAGTGTGCATATGCATTCGTTCAGGTTTTTTTCAAATTATAATCTGGCCCTCCAACAGTTTGAGGGACTCTGACCTGGCCCTCTGTTTAAAAAGTTTGAGGGCCCCTGCTGTAGATCATCAAAATGTTTGTAAAGTATTGACTCTCTGGAGTTATTTCTGATTTTACTCTTATGTTCAATGATCCTAGATTTTACTTCTCGGCGAGTTTGACCCACATATGTCAGATCCACAAGTGATCATGTAAATTGCCCCCCTGGATGAGCAGGTTGCAAAATAGGAGAATTTAATTTCTTATGATAGATGTTGGTATGTGAAGATTTTGGTCTCCACCAATTGGTGACACACTGAACAATGGTGATATCAGTAATGATCCACCAAATTGGACTTGATAGTCTGAGCATTGTGAGTTACATCTTAACGTATCAATATATCTCCAATGTTCTTGGTTCTTTTAAATGCAATCAATGAGGGTCTCTCGCCCAGTGGTTCCCAGCCTTGCGTTACCTCCTGCGCCGCTGCAACACTGTCAGCTGAGGCAGGCATGTAGTGGAGGAGCCCCTAGGGGAGGCTGAAGCCCAGCAGCAGGAGACCGGGGGAGCCAAGCGGCGGTGGAGGGACGCAGCAGCAGCGGGCAGTAGAGGGAGCTCATCTGCCTCTCCCTGGATTTGAATCTGCAACCTGTCAGTCTTCAGTCCTGCTGGCACAGGGGTTTAACCCACTGTGCCACCGGGGGCTCATCACAACATGACAACAAGTTGAGCATGAGCCAACAATGTGACGTGGCGGCAAAAAAAGCCAATGGGATTTTGTCCTGCATCAAGAGGAGCATAGTGTCTAGATCTAGGGAAGTCATGCTACCCCTCTATTCCACTTTGGTTAAACCACACCTGGAATATTGTGCCCAATTCTGGGCACCACAATTCAAGAGAGATATTGACAAGCTGGAATGTGTCCAGAGGAGGGCGACTAAAATGATCAAGGGTCTGGAGAACAAGCCCTATGAGGAGCGGCTTAAGGAGCTGGGCATGTTTAGCCTGAAGAAGAGAAGGCTGAGAGGAGACATGATAGCCATGTATAAATATGTGAGAGGAAGCCACAGGGCGGAGGGAGCAAGCTTGTTGTCTGCTGCCCTGGAGACTAGGATGCAGAACAATGGCTTCAAACTACAAGAGAGGAGATTCCATGTGAACATGAGGAAGAACTTCCTGACTTTGAGAGCCATTCAGCAGTGGAACTCTCTGCCCCGGAGTGTGGCGGAGGCTCCTTCTTTGGAAGCTTTTAAACAGAGGCTGGATGGCCATGTGTCGGGGGTGATTTTAATGCAATATTCCTGCTTCTTGGCAGAATGGGGTTGGACTGGATGGCCCATGAGGTTTCTACTAACTCTTTGAGCCTATGATCCACTCATAGGCCTCAACGGCAAAAGCACGCTCCTCACTGTTCCAACGCATGTTGGCGACTGAACTGTGTCAGGACAAAACTTTATACTCCCGCCTCTCAAATGAGACCACTAGCGTCCGCTACGTCTTCAACCTACTGAATGGCACGCATATTAAAAAAGGAAGTTATGCTGCCTCACCCTGTATATTGGAATCTATCAGTCTTAGAACTGTTATGTTTGAGAGCAGTTGCTCCTTTTCACTTTGCTTTATGCCACTGTATTGAGCTGTATATTGGGAATGTTGATAAAATGGTATACTGTATGCTCTTTAGGTATTATACTATCTCACTGAGTTACAGTTAGCTGTACTGGGGACAGGCTCAGTGTATCTACTTACTCTATTGTATTTGTCACTCTTTTGTAGTAGTCATGTGTAAGATTGAAATGTGAAAATCTGTGACACCGTTCTAACCAAACTGAATGAAACTTCCCCAGCCTTGGCAGAGTGCGGCTTTGGAGAGCAGCCATTGCAGCAGGGGATGCCTCCAAGGCCGTGGGCATGGGAGAGCCTGCTTGTGGTGGGTGCTTTTGCTGTATCTCCACCCAAGTCTGTCCTCCTCCTCCTTGGGAAAAGGGAGCCCTGGCCCTTGACCCCAAGCTGAGACCTTCCTTTTCTGTTGTAGGTGGAGGCTCTGCTCTGCTCCCTGGACCGATTACCTTTAATGTTCAATGTGGCTGGGGAGCAAGCGTTTGGCAGGGAGACTGGCAGGGGTGGCTCATCTCACAGTTGCCTGACTTGCAATGGTTAAAAGTTTTAGTCATGTCTGAAATTGCAATTATCACAATGCTGTTGATATTTTTGTATTGCTTCACTTTGATAACATGTGCTTGTAGAGTTACGCTGCCCTTAGCTTTGGCCCCTAAAAAGACTGAACAGATAGAACTCTTGGATGTCAACCCAGTTAGGATGACAACAGAATATACATCCTTAGGGTGAAAGAAACATCCCAAGTGGACACAAATGATGGGTCAAAAATAGGGGGTCATTGTGCAGCAATAAGATTAACTGCTTCTTTGCTCCGCTTTTGTAAAACCTGCTTGATTTGCTTCGCTGAAAAGATTTCATCTCAGCAAAAAGAAAAGGCAAGAATGGAGGGGACGTGGTTTTTGAAAAAAGGGATTTTTCAGATATTTTCCCAATGCCCATTTACTGCCATATTGGCCTATTTCTGCAGTAGGCCTATATTCACAGAAAATGCTGATTGTTTGAGAAATCAGTGCTCCAGAGAAGAACTTACTATTCACAGATAACAATATATCTGGACAAAACCAGCTAGCTGTTGGCTAGTTAGAACCCCCAAGTTTCCCAGTCGCTCTGAAGCCATGTTTGCAACAGACTAACAGATAAGATACAGTCATGGTCAGAGAACAATGGACTATAGTTATGTTTATAGTTGTGCCATTGTTAGGCTCCCACGTGTGCTATAATGTCAATCAAAATCATAAACAACAAATGAACAACTGCATAACTAACTTGTTGTTGTTCATTCGTTCAGTCGTCTCCGACTCTTCGTGACCTCATGGACCAGCCCACGCCAGAGCTCCCTGTCGGCCGTCACCACTCCCAGCTCCTTCAAGGTCAGTCCAGTCACTTCAAGGATGCCATCCATCCATCTTGCCCTTGGTCGGCCCCTCTTCCTTTTGCCTTCCACTTTCCCCAGCATAATTGTCTTCTCTAGGCTTTCCTGTCTCCTCATGATGTGGCCAAAGTACTTCAACTTTGTCTCTAGTATCTTTCCCTCCAGTGAGCAGTCGGGCTTTATTTCCTGGAGGATGGACTGGTTGGATCTTCTCGCAGTCCAAAGCACTCTCAGAACTTTCCTCCAACACCACAGTTCAAAAGCATCGATCTTCCTTCGCTCAGCCTTCCCTAAGGTCCAGCTCTCACATCCGTAGGTTACTACAGGGAATACCATGGCTTTGACTAGGCGGATCTTTGTTGCCATTCTGATGTCTCTACTCTTTACTATTTTATCGAGATTGGACATTGCTCTCCTCCCAAGAAGTAAGCGTCTTCTGATTTCCTGGCTACAGTCTGCATTTGCAGTAATCTTTGCACCTAGAAATACAAAGTCTGTCACGGCCTCCATTTTTTCTCCCTCTATTTTCCAGTTGTCAATCATTCTTGTTGCCAGAATCTTGTTTTTTTTTGTTTAACTGCAACCCAGCTTTTGCGCTTTCTTCTTTCACCTTGATTAGAAGGCTCCTCAGCTCCTCCTCGCTTTCGGCCATCAAGTGGTGTCATCTGCATATCTGAGGTTGTTAATGTTTCTTCCAGCAATTTTCACCCCAGCTTTGCATTCATCCAGCCCCGCACATCGCATGATGTGTTCTGCATACAAGTTAAAAAGGTTGGGTGAGAGGATGCAGCCTTGCCGTACGCCTTTCCCAATCTTGAACCAGTCTGTTGTTCCGTGGTCAGTTCTGACTGTTGCTACTTGGTCCTTGCACAGATTCCTCAGGAGAGAGACAAGGTGGCTTGGGATGCCCATCCCACTAAGAACTTGCCACAATTTATTATGATCCACACAGTCAAAGGCTTTAGAATAGTCAATGAAGCAGAAGTAGATGTTTTTCTGAAACTCCCTGCCTTTCTCCATTATCCAGCGGATATTGGCAATCTGATCTCTCGATCCTCTGCCTTTTCTAAACCCAGCTTGAACATCTGGCAACTCTCGCTCCATGTATTGCTGGAGTCTTCCTTGCAGGATCTTGAGCATTACCTTACTGGCATGAGAAATAAGGGCCACTGTACGGAAGTTTGAGCAGTCTTTCGCATTTCCCTTTTTTGGTAGGGGGATATAAGTTGATTTTTTCCAGTCTGATGGCCATTCTTGTGTTTTCCATATTTGCTGGCAAATGGCATGCATCACCTTGACAGCATCATCTTTTAAGATTTTAAACAGTTCAGCTGGGATCCCGTCGTCTCCTGCTGCCTTGTTGTTAGCAATGCTTCTTAAGGCCCATTCAACCTCACTCCTCGGGATGTCTGGTTCTAATTCATTCACCACACCGTCAAAACTATCCTCGATATTATTATCCTTCCTATACAGATCTTCTGTATAGTCTCGCCACCTTCTCTTGATCTCTTCAGCTTCTGTTAGGTCCCTGCCATCTTTGTTTCTTATCATGCCAATTTTTGCCTGAAATTTACCTCCAATGTTTCTAATTTTCTGGAAGAGGTCTCTTGTCCTTCCTATTCTGTTGTCTTCTTCCACTTCCATGCATTGCTTGTTTAAAAATAGTTCCTTATCTCTTCTGGCTAACCTCTGGAATTGCGCATTTAACTGGGCATATCTCCCCTTATCACTGTTTCCTTTTGCTTTCCTCCTTTCTTGGGCTACTTCCAGTGTCTCAGCAGACAGCCATTTTGCCTTCTTGGTTTTCTTTTTCTTTGGGACGTACTTTGTTGCCGCCTCCTGAACAATGTCTCGGACTTCTGTCCATAGTTCTTCTGGGACTCTGTTTACTAAATCTAGTCCTTCAAATCTGTTCTTCACTTCCACTGTATATTCGCTAGGAATGTTAGTGAGATCATATCTAACTGGTCTGTGTATTTTCCCTGATTTCTTTAGTTTTATTCTAAATTGGGCAATAAGAAGTTCGTGATCTGAGCTACAGTCAGCCCCAGGTCTTGTTTTCACCGACTGGATGGATGTCCTCCACCTTTGGCTGCAAAGGATGTAGTCAATCTGATTTCGGTGTTGACCGTCTGGTGAGGTCCATGTGTAAAGCCGTCTTTTAGGTTGTTGGAAGAGAGTATTCGTTATACACAGCGAGTTTTCCTGGCAAAATTCTATCAGCCTGCTTCCCGCTTCATTTTGTTCTCCCAGACCATGCTTGCCTGTGATCCCAGTTGTCATTTGACTTCCCACCTTGGCATTCCAGTCTCCTGTAATGAAAATAATGTCTCTTTTTGGTGTATTATCCAGTAGGTCCTGCAGATCCTCATAGAAGAGATCTACTTCTGCTTCTTCAGCAGCTGTGGTTGGGGCGTATATTTGGATCACTGTAATGTTGAAAGGCTTTCCTTGCACTCGAATTGAGATCATTCTGTCATTTTTTGGGTTGTATCCAAGCACCGCTTTAGCTAATTTCTTATTAATTATGAAGGCTACTCCATTTCTTCGATGTTCCTCTTGTCCGCAGTAGTAGATCTGGTGGTCATCTGATGTGAAGTGGCCCATTCCAGTCCATTTCAGTTCGCTGACCCCCAGAATGTCTATCTTTAGTCTTGACATCTCGCCAATAACAACATCCAATTTGCCCTGGCTCATAGATCTTACATTCCAGGTTCCTATGGTGTGTTGATCTTTAGAGCATGGGATTCGTCGTTCACCTCCAGTACCGTCAGCCGCTAGCCTTCCTTTCGGCTTTGAGCTAGCTGCGACATCACAACTGGGGCTAGTTGAACTTATCCTCTGCTCCTCCCCAGTAGCATTTTGGCCATCTTCCGACCTGGGAGTCCCATCTTCCACCGGCATACCGACATATCTCTGGTTGTACTGGTCCATTTAGTTTTCTTGGCAAGGATACTGGAGTGGTTTGCCATTGCCTTCCCCAGGGATCACGCTTGGTCTGACCTCTCTGCCACAACCGTCCCGTCTTGGGTGGCCCTTCACGGTTTCGCTCATGACATCATTGAGGTGCTCAAGCTCCAGCGCCCCGACAAGGCGGTGATCCTTTGCTGGAGATAACTAACTTAGACCAATGAAATGATTTGTCTTTGGGAACCAATGAAAATGTATATTCCGTTTACTATTTATTTTTATTTTTTATTTATTTATCGTGTCATCAGCAACCATACCATTGTATTACAATTCTAACAGAGCAAAACAAACACACAGATTAAAAAGAAAAAAAAAAAACACACAGATTTTGCAAATTTGGTATTTGGTTAAATGTCCTTTGACCAGTATCTGGCCACTTGGAGTGCCTCTGGTGTTGCCGCAAGAAGGTCCTCCATTGTGCATGTGGCAGGGCTCAGGTTGCATTGCAGCAGGTGGTCAGTGGTTTGCTCTTCTCCACACTCGCATGTCGTGGATTCCACTTGTAGCCCCATTTCTTAAGATTGGCTCTGCATCTCGTGGTGCCAGAGCGCAGTCTATTCAGGCCTTCCAAGTCGCCCAGTCTTCTGTGTGCCCAGGTTGGAGTCTCTCATCTGGTATCACCCATGGATTGAGGTGCTGGGTTTGGGCCTGCCACTTTTGGACTCTCGCTTGCTGGGGTGTTCCAGCGAGTTTACTATAAAAGCTCTGCAGCCCCCTTGGGGGTTGCGACAAACCCTTTGATTGCATCCCTGTATGCTTGTTTGTCGTTATTGCTATGGCCACGCAATAATAAATAGTTTTTTGCAGTTTAAAGGATTCAACTTTGTGGTATCCATCCTTGCCCTCCCCATTGGAAAGGGGGCTTCTGCCTTTTTGGGAAATATTCTGGTTTCCCTACAGCTGGGGAGCAAGGGTTTGGCAGGGAGAAAATACATCTAACTAACTATCCTGTGAATACTGAATTTTTTCTCTCTGCCATCAACTTGAGTCCTTTGGTTCCAGGGCTTTTGGGAGATGCTCTTTCCCCCTCCTTTCAGTTGAACGCTGGGCAAGGAAGGGTTAAGGGAACAGAGTTTGGTTCCCAGAGAGGCAGGAAGGAAGTGGGCCTCCTAACACCCACCTTTCCTGTCCCTCTAGGAATCAAACTTCCTCCCCTTCCCCTTCCTTCCGGCTGAGAGAGAGGAGTTTCTCCTTTGGCCTCCTCCTTCTCTTCCTCCTTCTGGTGAGTCTTCTTCCCATTACCATCCTTAAGTTGTTTAATAATTCAGTTTCTGCGTGTCATCTGGATTTCCAAATATTTTACTTTTAATTGTTATATTGATTTTTGTCTCTTGCTTCAAAGTCTCTTGGTTCTTCTTCACAAGGAAGGCTGTGGATCATGAGGTGTCAGGTTTTACAATGTATTGCAATGTAATATAGCTGAGTCATGCACTGCTAATGGGCTTCTATTGGAAATGCTGAGTCATGCATTAACTGCATATAGGGAATCATTTGGGGAATGTGTTCTGGCCTAGTCCAGGTGATTGTGAATGATGTAATCCTGGGTTTGAGTTAAGTTAATGAGTTGGAAGAGACCTCATGGGCCATCCAGTCCAACCCCATTCTGCCAAGAAGCAGGAATATTGCATTCAAATCACCCCTGACAGATGGCCATCCAGCCTCTGTTTAAAAGCTTCCAAAGAAGGAGCCTCCACCACACTCCGGAGCAGAGAGTTCCACTGCTGAACGGCTCTCACAGTCAGGAAGTTCTTCCTCATGTTCAGATGGAATCTCCTCTCTTGTAGTTTGAAGCCATTGCTCCATTGCGTCCTAGTCTCAAGGGAAGCAGAAAACAAGCTTGCTCCCTCCTCCCTGTGGCTTCCTCTCACATATTTATACATGGCTATCATATCTCCTCTCAGCCTTCTCTTCTTCAGGCTAAACATGCCCAGCTCCTTAAGCCGCTCCTCATAGGGCTTGTTCTCCAGACCCTTGATCATTTTAGTCGCCCTCCTCTGGACACATTCCAGCTTGTCAATATCTCTCTTAAATTGTGGTGTCCAGAATTGGACACAATATTCCAGGTGTGGTCTAACCAAAGCAGAATAGAGGGGTAGCATTGCTTCCCTAGATCTAGACACTAGGCTCCTATTGATGCAGGCCAAAATCCCATTGGCTTTTTTTGCCGCCACATCACATTGTTGGCTCATGTTTAACTTGTTGTCCACGAGGACTCCAAGATCTTTTTCACACGTACTGCTCTCGAGCCAGGCATTGTCCCCCATTCTGTATCTTTGCATTTCGTTTTTCCTGCCAAAGTGGAGTATCTTGCATTTGTCACTGAACTTCATTTTGTTAGTTTTGGCCCAAATATGTAATTAAAGAACCTGTCTGCTAAGACAAGATATAACTGTACGCTGTGGTAAGTCTGTAATATCATCTAGACTGGGGGAAAGACAATGGTAAAACTGACAATGGCTGGGCATGTGTTTAAGTGTAAAAGGTTCCAGAGTGACTGCATGCTGTGGGAGCAGTTGACTGAGAATACTGTGCAGGAAGAAGCTACTGGAAAGCGCTGAAGTTGTGCAACTGATCTGCTGCTGAATTGTGAAGTTAATCTCAACATGAGGAATCAGCTGAAGGAATCACGGGGGGGGGGGGAATCCAGTGTGGGTTGGGACTGAATGGGAGCTCAGTGGGAGACCAGATGCGCCTGGAGGTTGGAGAAGCAAAGGCCCAAGTGGAAGGAGGGCCCAGCATTACCTGGCTCTGTTTCTGTGTATTTTTTGTGGTTGATTTTGGCCATTTCAAAAACTTTTGCCATCCAATTTTCTGGTGTTGGCTTCTTTTGTTGTTTCCATAGTTTTGCATATTAAATTCTTGTTGCTTCACAATTGGTGTTGGGACTGAGTGGGAGCTCAATGGAAGGTCAGATGGGCCTGGAGGCTAGAGGAGCAGAGGCCCAAGTGGAAGGAGGGCCCAGCATTGCCTGGCTCTGAAATAAATAAATAAAGGGCTTTGTTTTGTTTGTTTGTTTTGTTTTACTCTCTCAGGAAAAGCCTCCCAAAGCCTGTTGTCTAATTCTGCCTTTCTTTCACAGAGGAAATCTGCTTGTTGCCTGAGAATTTTGGAGTCGAGTGTTCAGGGATTTCTTGCCCTTGAGAGAAGAGGGAGGAAGAGCATCTTGGATACGGTAGGGTTCTTCATCAGAGTGGATCCAACATGGAGAGACCTGGACCTGAAGCAGGCAAGGCCTCTGGGAGCAGTGGGGAATCCTGGGAAAGAACTACGCAAACGTTCCTGAATGCCCACACACAGTGCCAGCGCTTCAGGCATTCCTCGTACCGAGAGGGCGAGGGACCCAGAGAGGTTTGCAGCCGCCTCCACTCTCTCTGCCGCCAGTGGCTGAAGCCAGAGCAACACACCAAGGCGGAGATGCTGGACCTGGTGATCCTGGAGCAGTTCCTGAGCATCCTGCCCCCAGAGATGGGGAGCTGGGTCCGAGAGTGTGGGGCAGAGACCTCTTCCCAGGCGGTGGCCCTGGCGGAAGGCTTCCTCCTGAGTCGGGCAGAGGACGAGAAGCAGGAAGGACAGGTGAGAGCATTGCCTCTTGGCTTCACTCACCTTGGGACTAATATATAGATTAAACATACATTCTGCCTTCCTTCCAAGATGGGACCGATGTGAGGGAGAAGCCAGACTCTGCTCCCTTGGCCTCTTTTCCCCCCCCCCCCCCGCTCTACCCCTCCTGCTCTCACCTCCATATCCACTGTAAGCTCAGTTGCTGCTCTACCCAAATTTATTGACCCCAGATCACATTGAAAATGATGGAAGGGGGAGTGTGGCATTTGTTTAAAACTAAAGAGTTATTCTTTTTTAAATTGTCAATGCAGTTTCTGCACAATCTCTGTGATTTTTTAAAAAAAATCTCCATATTTCCTCTGGAATACTCTGTGCTTTTCCAGGACAAAAATAACTGCATTGAAGTCCACCCTGATGTCCCTGAATCAGAAAAATCTCCATCAGAGACAACCCAGAGCCTCCAGCAGAAGGAACTCAAGCAGGAAGGAGATGGGGCTGCAGCCTTGGAGGGTAAGAAGGAACCCTTTGGGGTGTTTTCCTGTTTTATGTCAATGCAAATTCCCCTTCAGGGGATTATAGCACACCCAAAATCAGTTTGAGCTAGAGAAGGCATACATGTAGGATCATTTCAGCTTGTAATGTATATAAGTATGATTTGGTTGCAAGAGGCGTCATTTCAGTGTTATTTGGAGTTTTCTTTATCATTCTACTTCTGCATTTGCATACTGTTGGGTGGGACTGAAATATCATCCGTACGGTGTGTTTCCAGGTGGGACCCGAAGCTCAGATGAGCCCTGAAACTGAGTTGGAAGACAAACAGACAACAAAAAATAACTATAGTCAATTGGAACTGCCAAGCCCAGTCCTAGTTTCAACCTAACCTATTCACAGCACTGGTTAGATGAAACAGTTCTAAACTCCAAAACTTTACATATTCCTGAGCTGGAGAATGCTCCTGTCTTCATAGAGTATTTTCCTCATAGGTTTCTTTTCAGGACCCTAATTATAACCTCAGAGACATATTTATGTTATCAGCTTTCCACCCCTTCCTCCCCCCCCCCCCCCCTCTCTCTCAGGGGCTGGAATGATGTCACTGAATCCACAGTCGCACCTTCGGCTTTGTGATGGAGTGGAACTGAATCAGGTAAGCAGAAGGATTCCTGGGAGAGGAGGGCTGGAGATGCCTGGGGGTCATTTGTTGCAAGCTCAATCATCAAACATATGTTGAAAAAGGAAAGACTGAACCAACAGAAACGTAAATCATTTCCAAGATATTCTTGTATGATTTCCCTGATGTGAGAAGGAAATGTGTTCTTTTTCCTCCAGGGCCCAATCGCCTTTGAGGAGGTGGCTGTCCATTTCTCCCTGGAGGAGTGGGCTCTACTGAATCCTGGTCAGAAAGCCTTGCACGTGCAGATCATGGAGGAGATTCATGGGATTGCGGGTTCTCTTGGTAAGGCTTCCTCGTGGATGGGGATTTCTATTTCATAATGCAGGATCCCTAAAGGGAGCAGGATCCTAAATCATCTCAATCACTAAGATTTCTCAACACAGGCTTTGCGTTAGAACTTTAAGACATAAGTTTGACATTGACTTGATGCCTGAGTGTGATGTTACGTGGATGTCACTATATCTGGCTGAGTCCTGCAGACATTCCTTTTATTTTATTTTTAAATATGCCACCTTCTGTCACCAATAATATTATATGTATACATAGGCACCAGGCAATGATGCTAATACAGGGGAGAAAGAAGATTAAACTTGGCAGAAACTCAGCAACTTGGGGTTCAATTATAGATGTGTGTATATGTCTAATGTATAACCCAACACTGTAGTCAGTATGTAGCTTCAAAATAATCTCCGACCAACTTTCAGGAATGTATCTTCAGTCTTGTAACTTGACACGAGTCTTCAATATATTAGTTGAAACAAAGAAATGTTTATTTATGAATTCTTGTGCACATAAAGCACATTTGTTACACAGTACTTTACTTCAGTTCCACCTTGATATTGTTACATCTGCCTTTTACTCTTGTGAATACATAAAATTGATACTATATAACTTTCAGAACAGTTTGGCTTATGTCAACTTGGTTAGGTAACTTCCTTCTCTCTCACATGTAATTCCTTCTCAGCCTTCTGACTGGATAACTTATATCTTATAGTCACTTCTTTCCATCAGTATTCTGATTGCAACTTATTCTCAAAGAACTCTCTGTCTCTCAGGTCCACCTGACTGAAGACTTAGACACAAATTAGTCACCTATTACTTCAGTACCACAACGGAAGGCATAATCGTATATAATGATTTTCTTCCCTGTAGCTCTCAGACTAGAGATTAATTCAAAATGGTCCCTTTATTACTTTAATATCCACTCTAGCTCCCCTGGCTAGAGAATGCCTCATTTCTAAAATGTCCCCTCTTTTCTTCTTAGTTAGCTCTGCCCCTTTTGCCTGCTAGCTACTCTAAAATGAATACAATCCACAAACATGTGGACAATTTCAACAGAAAGGAAGAAACCATGAAAATGAACAAAATCTGGCTACCAGTATTAAAAAATTCTAAAATTGCAACAGCAAAACAACAGAGAGTAAACAATCAGGCACATCAAATCACCTCTCAACAAAAGATTTGCTCCAGGCACTGTCAGGCCATTATATGCTAATCAAGGTGGTCAGTTGAAACATTCACACCTAGCCCAACTTACAAAAGCCTTTGTCTCACCCTGGTCATTCCACAGATATATAAACCCCTTTTTCCCAGCTCCAGCAGACCTCACCTCTGAGGAAGCTTGCCATAGATGCAGTCGAAACGTCAGGAGAAATGCCTCTAGAACATGGCCATATAGCCCGAAAAAACCCACAAAAACTGAATGAATACATTTCTACTGCAGAGGCTTCGCAGCCATGCCAACGCATCGACCAATCATATGCAGCTAACTCTTGCCTGCCTTTGTCATAATATCAAGTGACTGCCTTGACATTGAAGGAACTGGGGGTGGCCACAGCTGACATGGAGTTCTGGCGTGGGATGGTCCATGGGGTGACGAAGAGTCGGAATCAGCTGCACGAATAAACAACAACAATAATTTAGAGGCTCCAGGCAGTCAAACAGTGTCCATCTTTCCTGAACAAGGGGTTGGGAGAGGGCAGTATTTATATCTTCTTTTCTTCCATTTCTATGTTAAGGATCATTTCAATCGCCTTCTTATACCAATTCCCTAGAGTCCTTATCACTCACACAGTTTCTGTTCTTCACAGAAGATACCTGGAACACCAAACACAGGAAGTATTTGGAACACAATGGAGGCCTTCCTAGAGACCAGCAAACCCGCAGAGAAGATGGAACTTCTGCCAAAGAAAGGCCCTACAAATGCAATGTATGTGGGCAATGTTTTACCCAAAATATGGCACTTATACTTCACAAGACACTCAGTGCTGAGAAAAGCCATTGTCAATGGGAAGTATCAGCAAAATGTATTGCTGATAACAAACTGCCAGATCAGAGCCAAGAAGAAATCTTTCAAGGAACTGAGGATTTCATAAGCCAGGACTGTAGGAAATCTTTTATCTTGAGTTCACACTCGGTGAGCCACAAAAGACTCCACACAGGAGAGAAGCCATACCAATGCCAGCAGTGTGGGAAATGTTTTGCTCGCAGTTCACATTTGGTGACCCACAATAGACTCCACACAGGAGAGAAACCATACCAATGCCAGGAATGTGGGAAATGTTTTGCTGAGACTTCAGCCTTCGTGAAGCACAAAAGATACCACACAGGAGAGAAGCCATACCAATGCCAGGAGTGTAAAAAATGTTTTGCTTCTAGTTCAAACTTGGTGAAGCACAAAAGACTCCACACAGGAGAGAAGCCATACCAATGCCAGGAGTGTGGGAAATGTTTTGCTGAGAGTTCAGCCTTCGTGAGGCACAAAAGATTCCACACAGGAGAAAAGCCATACCAATGCCAGGAGTGTGGGAAATGTTTTGCTCGCAGTTCAACCTTGGTGAGCCACAAAAGAGTCCACACAGGAGAGAAGCCATACCAATGCCAGGAGTGTGGGAAATGTTTTACTGTGAGTTCAGCTTTGGTGACCCACAAAAGATTCCACACAGGAGAGAAGCCATACCAATGCCAGGAGTGTGGGAAATGTTTTGCTTACAGTTCAGGCTTGGTGAGCCACAAAAGACTCCACACAGGAGAGAAGCCATACCAATGCCAGGAGTGTGGGAAATGTTTTACTCAGATTTCAAACTTGGTGAAGCACAAAAGACTCCACACAGGAGAGAAGCCATACTAATGCCAGGAGTGTGAGAAATGTTTTGCTGTGAGTTCAGCCTTGGTGAGCCACAAAAGACTCCACACAGGAGAGAAGCCATACCAATGCCAGGAGTGTGAGAAATGTTTTGCTGTGAGTTCAGCCTTGGTGAGGCACAAAATACTCCACACAGGAGAGAAACCATACCAATGCCAGGTGTGTGGGAAATGTTTTGCTTGTACTTCATATCTGATGAAACACAAAAGATTTCATACAGGAGATAATCATGCCAGGAGTGTGGGCAGTGTCTTCCTTGAAAGTCATCACTTCTGAAACTGTTCAAATTCATTGTAATCACAAACAATATTGCATGTGTTTTGTACAGTCACTCTGAAATGGTATCGATGTCATGTGTTCTTATGCCGAGTTGATCATGGATCAGCCGCCCATGATCTGTTTTGACCTTACTCCAGGCCTTCCTGTGGTGGTCTGAAATTGTTATATATATCAACAATTGCTACAAATATATCCATTAAACATCATCTAATAAAACACATTTGAAGGCACTTATACACTTGACACTTGTTCTCCTTAGACATCATCCAAGAGCTGTGACAAAACTAATAACATGAGTGATCACTTATCATGATGATGAACTGGCTGGATTATTTTGCCCTGCTGTACAATATACTCCCGCAAAAAAATTTAATTGTGTATTTTATTATGATATTGTTGTTTTTAGTTTGCTATGCTTTTTGACACCCAAACACTATAAAAATTAAAACTAAGATGTGCTTCTCTCTTAATCTGGGTGGACCGCGGGGGTCTTTCTTTAGAGCAGGGGTCCACAAATTTTTTAAACAGAGAGCCTGGTCAGAGTCCCTCAAAATATTGAAGGGCCGGATTATACATTGAAAAAACATGAATGAATCCCTTTGCACCCTGCACATATCGTATTTGTAGTGCAAAAAACATTTTAAAATAATTCAATAATTAAAATGAAGAACAATTTTAACAAATATAAACTTACTAGTATTTCAATGGGAAGTGTGGGCCTGCTTGTGGCTGATGAGATAGGATTGTTGTTGTTGTGAGCTTTCAAGTCGTTACAGACATAGGTTGACCTGAGTGAGGGCCGAGTAAATGCCCTTAGAGGGCCGCATCCAGCCCCCGGGCCTTAGTTTGAGGACCCCTGCTTTAGAGGCTCAAAAATTCTCAGCAACTGAGGCCACTTCAGGTTTGGAACATCAAACAGAATATTTATTTCCAAAGTCCTTGGCAGACTTGGCACAGCGTGAAGAAGTTACAACACAAACAGTCAATTTGGTAAACTATAGAGATGATCTTTCTTTCCTTTTCCTTCAGTTACTGAGGTAACTTTTCCCCAAAAGGTAGACAAATCCTGAGATCCTTTCACCCTAACCCTGAGCTGCTATGGTTAGAAAAAAAAGTTTTTTCCCTATCTAAGCTCAAGGTTAGCTTTGGAGATGAAGTAATGCTCAATAATATTCAATAACTCAAGATCTATCTATAACTCAATTGTACTTCTCTATCTTTCTGTCTATATATCTTAGTTACTCAATTAACTTATCTATATCTCAATTGCTATCTATCTCAATTATCTTCTTTATCTATATAACTCAATCACGTCGCTCCCCGGAATTGAACCTGCAACCTTTCGATCAATCTCAGCAGCTCAGTGCTTTAACCCACTGCGCCACTAGGGGCAGAGGGTTTATTGTTATTTAATAATAACAATAAATAGAGTAAAACAATAAATGTAATAATAACAACAATAACAAAGGAAGATAATAAATGTAATAATAATAATAATAATAATAATAGAGTAAAATGATAAATGTAATAATAACAATAAATAGAGTAAAACAATAAATGTAATAATAACAGTAATAATAACAGACTAAAATAATAAATAACCTTGACTCGAGTATAAGCCGAGGGGGATTTTTTGAGCCTAAATAAAGGGCTGCAAAACTAGGCTTATACTTGAGTATATACAGTACTTTTAATCCACATTAAGTATTTATTTATTTGTCGTGTCAGAGCAGCCAGTCCATTATATTACATTTCTAACAGAACAAAGCAAACAAGCAGAAAAATACACAACTTGTGAGTTTGGTAGCTGGTTAAATGTCCTTTGACCAGTATCTGGCCACTTGGAGTGCTTCCGGTGTTGCTACAAGGAGGTCCTCCATTGTGCATGTGGCAGGGCTCAGGGTGCATTGCAGCAGGTGGTCAGTGGTTTGCTCTTCTCCACACTCACATGTCGAGGATTCCACTTTGTAGCCCCATTTCTGTTCAATGCCTTCCAAGTCGCCCAGTCTTCTGTGTGCCCAGGAGAGAGTCTCTCATTTGCCATTGGTTGAGGTGCTGGGTTTGAGCCTGCCACTTTTGGACTCTCGCTTGCTGAGGTGTTCCAGCGAGTGTCTCTGTAGGTCTTAGAAAACTATGTCTAGATTTAAGTCGTTGGCATGCTGGCATCCACATTAAGTTAACAAACATGAATCTCATTATTTTAGAATTAACCATGTTATGTATTATTGGTTTTGTTATGGACTGAGAATTTGATCTATTTTGCCAAATGTAAGTCCCTGGATCTTATACATGAAGGAAATAAGTTTGTCTGTGTGGGGCAGGCATAGGGAAACTTTGGCCCTCCAGGTGGTTTTGAACTTCCAACTCCCACAATTCTTAACAGTCGGTAAGCTGGCTGGAATTCCTGGGAGTTGAGGTCTGAACACCTGGAGGGCCAATGTAGAGTGAAAAAAACAACAGTGTTTGTATAATTAATACAAGCTTCCCAACAAGTCACTTCCAATTGTTTGAGATAATCAAATTACCAGTAAAAGGATTACTATATTCATACAAATCTAAGGCACATCTTTTTTGGCTAAATGGCCATGCCAGAATTGGAGTGCGCATTACCTTTGTGTAATATGGGAAAGTGTGGGCAGGCAGGTGCGTTCATATAGAAGAGGCAGCGGGAGCATGCACGGGCCTTCCTGCCTGCCCCAAAACACCTTTGCCTTCCTCCTGGGGCCCGTCCCCTTCCCCGCTGCTCCCAGGGCCAACCAGAGCCTTCTACTGCCGCTGGTGAGGCCTCCGTCTGCTGCACGCGCCTAGGTACTGAGCAAACTATTTTGGAAAATATTTCAATGCTTTTCCTAGTTGCAAGTTATCAGGAGTACTATTGTAATGCTAAAGAATGCTCAAACTTTCATACAATGGCTCTTATTTCTCATGCCAGTAAGGGAATGCTCAAGATCCTGCAAGGAAGACTCCAGCAAGACATGGAGAGAGAGTTGCCAGATGGACAAGCTGGGTTCAGAAAAGGCAGAGGAACGAGAGACCATATTGCCAATATCCGCTGGATAAAGGAGAAAGGCAGGGAGTTTCAGAAAAAAAAACATCTATTTCTGTTTCATTGACTATTCTAAAGCCTTTGACTGTGGATCGTAATAAATTGTGGCAAGTTCTTGGTAGATATGCAGATGATACCACTTTGAAGGCCGAAAGCAAGAGTTGGAAACGACTGAATGAATGAACAACAATTTATAATGAAATTTTGAGAGTTTTGTTAGAGTTCTGAAATTCTCACCACCAGAACTTTAGTTTTGTAAGTACTTTAGAACCATTTAGAACCATGCATTGAACAGGCCTACTGATTATATGTAATATTCAGTGGGGTTGGGGAGCAAGGGTTTGGCAGGGAGAGAATATGTAATAAGAAATTCAATGTGCAAATTTGATAAATGTGAATTTAAAATGATGTGTGGGAATGAATGGAAGAATGGAAGGATGTATGGATGGAGCTAATAATTTTCGGAAACACCAGTATAATATTAAGGCCTGCAATGACTAACTACCTGCTTGCTGGACTTGCTAATGAGAAGCTGTGTTAAGAACTGGGACAGTGATAAAGGAAATGTTTGCAACCTTCCTTATGTTAAGAAGGAAGTCAACATAAGATCAACACCAATCAAGAAGATCAACATCTGGCCAGGAAACTGGGATGGATACAGGATGGAAGACGTCTATCATTCATTTACAACTTTGGGACTACATCAACAGAATATTCCTATAAAAGACTCAGGCTAATAATGCTCAAATCGTGGCAGACTGAGGAGTCTGTTCCACCCGCCATGCTCTGCTCCACGGGAAGGACAGAGGTGGTGTATTCGGAAAGTGTCAGATATGCTATGGGAAAGCATGATTCTGGACACTTTGGGGCTTCTTTCTCAAGGGAAGAGGAAGAAGTGCACTTTTGGAGTCTTAGATTTTGTGCAGGGAGTCAGGTTCTGCTGTATGGAAAACAGAGATCTGGTCCTTGGCATTGTTCTTAGGGAAAGAAGTTTTGGCATCTCAGCATTTTGAAGTTTTGGCGTTATGGAAGTTATGGAACTATGCATTGGCAGGCTGCAGGAAAGCAGGGTCTGGCCTAACAGGTGCTTCTCCAAGGAGGGAGAAAATGATATGGTAATGTATTGTCGAAGGCTTTCATGGCTGGAATCACTAAGTTCTTGTGGGTTTTTTTGGGCTATATGGCCATGTTCTAGAGGCATTTCTCCTGATGTTTCGCCTGCATCTATGGCAAGCATCCTCAGAGGTGAGGTCTGTTGGAACTGGGAAAAAGGGTTTATATATCTTTGGAATGACCAGGGTGAGACAAAGGACTTTTGTCAGTTGGGCTAGGTGTGAATGTTTCAACTGACCACCTTGATTAGCATACAATGGGCTGACTGTGCCTGGAGCAAACTCTTCTTGAAAGGTAATTAGATGTCCCTGCCTGTTTCCTCTCTGCTGTTTTTGCTGTTGCAATTTTTGAATTTTTTAATACTGGTAGCCAGATCTTGTTCATTTTCATGGTTTCCTCCTTTTTGTTGAAATTGTCCACATGTTTGTTTTTTTAAATGGCTTCTCTGTGTAGTCTGACATGGTGGTTGTGAGAGTGGTCCAGCATTTTTGTGTTCTCAAATAAAATGCTGTGTCCAGGTTGGTTCATCAGGTGCTCTGCTATGGCTGACTTCTCTGGTTGAAGTCGTCTGCAGTGCCTTTCATGTTCCTTGATGCGTGTTTGGGCAATGCTGCGTTTGGTGGTCCCTATGTAGACTTGTCCACAGCTGCATGGTACACGGTAGACTCCTGCAGAGGTGAGAGGATCCCTCTTGTCAGACTACACAGAAGAGTCCTTTGTCTCACCCTGGTCATTCACAGATATATAAACCCTTTTTCCTAGTTCCAACAGACCTCACTACCTCTGAGGATGCTTGCCATAGATGCAGGCGAAACGTCAGGAGAAATGCCTCTAGAACATGGCCATATAGCCCGAAAAAACCCACAAGAACTTAGTGATATGGTAATATTTGGATGCATGTGGATGAATGCGTGTACATGTGTGTGAATGTTGAGTGAAAATGTAATTCCCCTATGTTTGTTTGTTAACCAATGTAATTGTGAATCCAATGTAGTTGCATAGAATCTGTATGTCTGTATGTCCAATGTCATTCTTGTCTAAATGTTTTCTGTAATCTGATATACCTTCTCACACTGGAAATTGCAATAAAAAGAACCTATGCTTTAAAATAATTGAAAAGTCATTCATGACATAATATATCTAACTAACTATCCTATGAATACGGATTTTTTCTTCCATGACTCTATGTCTGACATCATCTTTGGTTCTAAGACTTTGGAGAGAGGCTCTTTCCCCTTCTTTCCAGTGTAGGAAAGGGTTAAGGGGAGGGAGTGTGGTTCCCAGAGAGGCAGGAAGGAAGTGGGCCTCCTTATACATGCATTTCCAGTCCCTCTAGGAACCAAACTCCCTCCCCTTCACCCTTCCTTGCCTGATGGGAGAGGGGAGTTGGCCCTGCCAGCTTCTCCTTCCTCCTCCTCCTCCTTTTACCCTATCTCTTTCCTCTCCTTTTCCTTCATCTTTTCCTTCTTCTCCTTCCTCTCCTTCTGGTGAGTCTTCTTCCCATTCCTTCTCCAAAGGGCCAAAGAGGGGCTGAAGCCCCAAACACCTGGAGGGAGAGAGGGCCAAAGTGGGCCCAGGCCTCCTTCCCTCCCAGGCTGGCCTTCTCACATATGCAGAGACACACACCCTGACCAAGAGCAAGGAAATCAACAACTACCTAAGCTCTCCTCCTTGGAAGGAGATGGGGCCTGGCCTTGAGCCTTGGGCGCCATGGAGAGAAGGGGGCCTCATGCAAAGGGGATTGGGGGGTCAGCACAACAGACTGCGAGGTTGCCACTTCTCCAACCGGGGGATCCTTACATTGATTTTTGTTTCTTGTTTCAAAGTCTCTTGGTTCTGGGTTGTTGTAGGTTTTTTCGGGCTATGTGGCCATGTTCTAGAGGCATTCTCTCCTGACGTTTCGCCTGCATCTATGGAAAGCATCCTCAGAGGTAGTGAGGTCTGTTGGAACTAGGAAAAAGGGTTTATATATCGGTGGAATGACCAGGGTGGGACAAAGGACTCTTGTCTGCTGGAGCAAGGTGTGAATGTTTCAACTGACCACCTTGATTAGCATTTGATGGCCCGGCAGTGCTTGGGGCAATCTTTTGTTGAGAGGCGATTAGATGTCCCAAATTGTTTCCTCTCTGTTGTTTTGCTGTGTAATCAAGGCATCAGCTGAAGCAATCCTGGGATGATTCAGTGTGGGTTGGGACTGAATGGGAGCTCAATGGGAGGCCAGGTGGGCCTGGAGGCTGGAGAAGCAGAGGCCCAAGTAGAAGGAGGGCCCAGCATTACCTGGCTCCAAAATAAATAAAGGCCTTGGTTTATAATCTCCAAGAAAAAGCGTCTTGAAGCCTGTTGTCTAATTCTGCCTTTTTTTTCACAGAGTAAATGTGATTATTGGCTGGGAATTTTGGAGCAGAGCATGTTGAGGGATTTCTTTCTCTTCAGAGAAGACGGAGGAAAAGCATCTTGGATCCAGTTTGCTTCTTCATCAATGAGTGGTTCCAACATGGAGAGACCCAGCTCACCTGGACCTGAAGCAGGCAGGGCTCCCAGGAGCAGTGGGGAAATCTGGGAAAGAACTACGCAGACGTTCCTGAATGTGCACATAGAGTGCCAGCGCTTCAGGCATTCCTCCTTCCGAGAGGGCGAGGGACCCAGAGAGGTTTGCAGCCACCTCCACTCTCTCTGCCGCCAGTGGCTGAAGCCAGAGCAACACACCAAGGCGGAGATGCTGGACCTGGTGATCCTGGAGCAGTTCCTGAGCATCCTGCCCCCAGAGATGGGGAGCTGGGTCCGAGAGTGTGGGGCAGAGACCTCTTCCCAGGCGGTGGCCCTGGCGGAAGGCTTCCTCCTGAGTCGGGCAGAGGACGGGAAGCAGGAAGGACAGGTGAGAGCATTCCCTCTTGGTTTCTTTTGGCTTTTAAGTCCCTTCCGCTGTGTTTTTCAGTGTTTGTATGAGGGATGGTCACTCTTTGGCCTGATAGGTGTATTGTGTCCAAATTTGGTGTCAACTTGCCCAGTGGTTTTTGAGTTATGTTAATCCCACAAACGAACAACACATTTTTATTTAAATAGATATTTCTATCCTTGAGTCACCCGAAGGTGACTCAAGGTGGCTTTAGAACATAGGCAGCTATTTGATGCCATTAAAACAATGTAAAATTACAATAAACATTTAAAACAGAATTGTAAAATACATACATGAAAACCTTTAAAAACGTATAAAACCACTACCTTCACTATTAGTCTCGTCATCCAAAAACATCGTTTAAGCTACTCCAGTATTTGATTTCACTTAGTTCTGTGTTCGTCTATTTCACTAGGTTCCAAAAGCCTTGTTCAAAAAGCCATGTTTTCACTTTTCTGGGGAAGGTCAGGATGGAAACAAAATATATCTCAGGATGCAGTTTCTGCTCATTTGGGGGGAAATCCTTTTTTAACCTCTATATTTCTTAGGGAATTTTTTTTGCTGTTTTAGGCCCAGAATAACAGCATTGAAGTCCTCCCTGAGGTCTCTGAATCTGAGAAACCTCCACCAGGAACCACCCAGAGCCTCCAGCAGAAGGAGCTCAAGCAGGAAGGAGATGGGGCTGCAGCCTTGCAGGGTAAGGAGTTTTGGTGTTTTATACCATTGAGGATTCTCCCTCGGGGGATTGTAGCACATCCACAATTGGGTTGAGCTAGAGAAGGCATACATCCAAGGATGGTCTTAAGATGAGTATATAGATAGACATTTGGTTGCAAAAAGTGCAATTTCAGTGTGATTTGGAGTTTTCTTTATTGTTATACTTCTACATTTGCATACTGGATCCCCCTGTGGCGCAGTGGGTTAAACCCCTGTGCCGGCAGGACTGAAGACCGACAGGTCGCAGGTTTGAATCCGGGGAGAGTGCGGATGAGCTCCCTCTGTCAGCTCCAGCTCCTCATGCGGGGACATGAGAGAAGCCTCCTACAAGGATAGTAACACATCAAAACATCCAGGCGTCCCCTGTGCAACGTCCTTGCAGACGGCCAATTCTCTCACACTAGAAGCGACTTGCAGTTTCTCAAGTCGCTCCTGACACAACAAAAAAAATTGCATACTGTTGGGTTGGAGTATAAAATCTTCCCAGGTGAAACCTGAAGCTAAGATGAGCCAGGAAATTCAGCTGCAAGACAAACAGACAACAAAGAATAACTTTAGTCAATTGAAATACCAAGCCCAGTATCAATCATAGCACTGAATGGGATAAAACAGTCCAAAACTCCAAAACTTTAAATATTCCTGGGCTGGAGAAGGCTCCTGTGTTCATAGGGTCATTTCCTCATTGGTTTCTTTATAGACTGTAATTGTAACCTCTGGGACATGTTAATGTGATCAGTTTTCCACCCCTTGCTCGCTCTCCCTCCCTCCCAGGGGCTGGAATGATTTCGTTGCCGAATCCTCAATCGTTTCTTCAGCTTTGTGATGGAGTGGAAGTGAATCAGGTAAGCAGAAGGGTTCCTGGGAGAGGAGGAAGGGAGACGCCCGGGGGTCATTTCTTCCAGGCTTCATCCTCAAACATCTCTTGAAACAGAAAAGATTGAATGGGAGTTTCTTAAAAGTGAAATACTGAAGTCACAATTGCAAACAGCACCAACAAGAGGGAAAAAAGTAAGAGAAATCTAAAGAATGCTCAAAACTTTCAACTGAGCTAAGATTTAAAAGGAACATGTACAAGAAATGGAAAAGGAGGGAAACCACCAAAAAGAATTCCAACAACTAACCAGCATAATTCAGGGAAAGGTTTGAGAAGCTAAAGCAGAAAAGGAGCTCAGGCTTGCCAGAGAGATTGAAAACAACAAAAAAGCGGTTCTTTGGTTGTGTCAGTAGAAGAAGGAAAAATGAGGAAACAGTAGGGTCTCTGCCTGGAGAAGGTGGTGAAATGCAAACAGAGAATTGGAAAAAGGTAGAACATTGCCTGAGTCTTCTCCCAAAAGGGAATCAGTATTCTACTTGCACAAGATGGAGCAGATGAGGTAATAGGAGAAATGCAACCCAAAATAGGTAAAGAGGTTATCCAGGAATATCTGGCCACTCTAAATGAATTCAAGTCTCCAGGGCCACAGGAACTACATCCAAGACTCAAAGGAACTCACAGAAGAAATGTCAGAACCACTGGCAATAATCTTTGAGAATTCTCGGAAAACAGGAGAAGTCCCAACAGACTGGAGGAGGCAAAAGTTGTCTCTATCCTTAAGAATGAACAAAAAAGAGGACCCCCAACAATTACCATCTAGTCACCTTGACCTCCCATGATCTTACAAACAACTAGTAGTAAGTGAGCTAGATAATACTACTGTTAGGTGGATTTGTAATTGGTTGAGCGACTGAGCGCAAAGGATGCTCACCAATGGTTCCTCTCCATTCTGGAAAAAAGTGACTGGTGGAGTGCGGCAGGGTTCTGTCCTGGGCTCAGTACTGTTCAACATGCATATCGTATTTTCAGATGACACCAAAGTAGCAGGGATAGCTAATACTCTAGAAGACAGGATCCGATTTCAAAATGACATTCACATGTTTGAGAGCTGGGCCAAAAAGAACTGCATGAATTTCAACAAGAATGAGAGATTCCCCCCTGGGCACACAGAAGACTGGGCGACTTGGAAGGCACTGAACAGACTGCGCTCTGGGACCACGAAATACAGAGCCAACCTTCAGAAATGGGGCTACAAAGTGGAACCCACGACATTCGAGTGTGGAGAAGAGCAAACCACTGACCACCTGCTGCAATGCAACCTGAGCCCCACCACATGCACAATGGAGGACCTTCTTGCGGCAACACCAGAGGCACTCCAAGTGGCCAGCTACTTGTCAAAGGACATGTAATCAACTACCAAGCTTGCAAACTCTGTGTTTTGTCTGTTTGTTTGCTTGTTTGTTTTGTTAAAAATGTAATACAAATGTCTGATTGCTCCTGACACGATAAATAAACAAGAATAAATGTAGGATAGTACACTGGAGTCCCCAGTGGTGCAGTGGGTTAAAGTGCTGAGCTGCTGAACTTGCTGACTGAAAGGTCGCAGATTCAAATTGGGGGAGCAGTGTGAGCTCCCGCTGTTAGCCCCAGCTCCTGCCAACCTAGCTGTTCAAAAACATGCAAGTATATCAATAGGTACCGCACCAGCAGAAAGGTAACAATTGCTTCATGCACACATGTCAGCAAACACGACCTGCGAGACTTCTATGGACAATATCGGCTCTTCGGCTTAGAAATAGAGATGAGCACCCCCCCCCCCCCCCCCCCCCCCCCGAGTCAGACACGACTGGACTTAATATCAAGAGAAACCTTTACCTTAACCTACTACACTGAGGGCGGAGAAAAATACAATGCACAGATACAGGGTGGGCGACTCATGCCTCAACAACAGTTCACATGAAAAGCATCTTGGAGTGTTAGTAGACCACAAGTTGAACACGAGCCAACGATGTGGTGCAGCAGCTTAAAAGATTATGTGGTTTTGGGCTGCATCCAAAGGAATATAGTGTTTTGATTAAGGGAAGCTTTTGTGACACCTGACCTGGAATAACACTGTGTCCCATTCTGGGCACTACAATAAAAGCTGGAACATGTCCAGATTCCATTTCTGATTCTAAATATCAGTTGAGAAATGGTTGTGACTGTGACTAACCAGATGTCCCTACAAAGCTTAGAACTACGGTATGAAGGCCATAGCCCTTTCCCTTCAAGCAACCAACAGGAATGTAAATCTAATTTAAAGGTTTTCTTGTAATTATTTTTTCTTGGTTGCCCTGATGTGAGAAGGAAATGTGTTCTTTTTCCACCAGGGCCCAATTGCCTTTGAGGACATAGCTGTCCATTTCTCCCTGGAGGAGTGGGCTCTCCTGAATCCTGATCAAAAAGCCTTGCACATGCAGATCATGGAAGAGATTCATGGGATGGTGGACTCGCTTGGTAAGGCCCCCTCACGGATGGGGGTTTCTGTTTCAAAATGCAGGATCCCAGTCAGCAGCTCTCTGGTGGAAGTAGGATCCTAAATCATCACAATCTCTGAGAGTTATCAAGGCAGGGCTTATTTTAGAAATATATGACATAATGTAAGATTGACTTGGTGCCTGAGTCACAGTGACGTTGGCACCAATCCTGATTACAGTGGGAAGGCTTTCATAACTAGAGCCAAGTCCAAGCATACCACACTCCCTCACAGCAACAGGGCTCCCTAGAAGAGTAATCAAGAGTAATCACCCCAGATCAGTCACACTAACTATCTCTCTCTCTCTTTCTCTTTTTGTGTGTGTGTGGGTGTGTGTGTGAGAGAGAGAGAGAGACAGGGAGAGGAAGGAAGCAGATTGGCTGGAGAGAGAGACTGGAGAATGGATCATCAAAAAGTTCAAACTTCCCCTGGCTTCAGATACTCAGACACAACTATACATCTTATTATCGGTGCGGTATTCAACCTTGTTTTTCCTCCCAACCAGGAAGGCTAGTGTCTTCATGTCTGAAGCTAAGCTCTCTTTCTACGCTGCCTCTCCCAGCACACAGCCCCCAGCCTCAATCATTCACTAAATGCTGACTTGTAATATAACGCGTTCTGTGTTCTGTGCTTGAGAATGATTGGGGCTCGGGGTTTTTTCTGCACTGGGAGAGGCATACAGCAAAACTCAAACACTATGCCCCTCTCTTTCAAATGGTAAGAGTTGAATTCATGGTAGGTTGCCACTATATCTGGCTGAGTCCTGCAGACCTTCCTCTTTTTTCTCCCTTCTCTGCCTTCATCACTGTTCTCCTCTTTCTCTTTACAGTCACTCTCTTGTATCTTCCCAGCTTTGTCTGGCAAACCAATCCCTTTGGAAATAACATTTCAAAGACCTGCAAGAGTCCCATTCAGTTTTGTTGTTCATTCGTTCAGTCGCTTCCAACTCTTTGTGACCTCATGCACCAGTCCACGCCAGAGCTCCCTGTCGACCATCACCATCCCCAGCTCCTTCAAGGTCAAGCCAATCACTTCAAGGATGTCATCCATCCATTTTGCCCTTAGTCGGCCCCTCTTCCTTTTTCCTCCCTTTTCCCCAGGATCATTGTCTTCTCTAAGCTTTCCTGTGTTCTCATTATGTGGCCAAAATACTTCATCTTGGCCTCTACTATCCTTCCCTCCAATGAGCAGTTGGGCTTTATTTCCTGAAGTATGGACTAGTTGGATCTTCTCGCAGTCCAAGGCACTCTCAAAACTTTCCTCCAAAACCACAGTCCCATTTCAGTAGTTGATGGTAAAACTGTAACCATCTCTGCAACACTATGAAATAAGATATGAGACCTTCTACGTTGGAGTAGAAAATCCAGCCTTAACTGAACATGGGGAAAGAGAACTGGAGGTTGGGGGAGAGAAGTAAAAAGGAGGGAAAGATTGTGAAATGGGTGGTAGCAAGGTAATGTCTTAAGCTAGAGAAAAAGGCAAGCATTTGAATCTGAAAGAAAAAGGCATCCATTCCCATAAAGAGAAGGAGACAGAAGAAAATACATGCTGGGCTGAGCAACAGGGAGCCTCTGGAGCATATTTACCTTATCTCTGCCTTAGAGGCTCCAGGCAGTCAAACAGTGTCTGTCCTTACTAACCAAGGGATGGG